TCTCACGAACCCCAGATGATGATCTTAGCTGAAGAGCTGGATGCTTGATCGACTGAGCCTCTCAGGCACCCCTACTTTATAACCATAAATATGTTTTAATTCTCCTCTGTTGCTATACAATGAAATTGACCTAATGCGACAGGGACATTGTTTTACTGGCCGAAGCTGCATAGGTCTTTTGCAGCCTTATGTCTGACTGGGGCATCTGAAGTAATGTCCCTTTTGCCTATGTCCAGAATTCATCAGTTTCAGACATCTGTTTGGTTAATAGAACAGAGAAAGCCTACACTAACATGTCTTCAAGTCAGTTTGAGTTGTTAAAAGTGCGATTTTTGTTTTGTTCCCTTTTTCCTTTCCTGCTATGTGTTCTACTCTAGAAACCGCACAGCTCCTCCTGGTGGTCTCTGATGGACGTGGCCTTTTCCTCGAAGGCAAGGACAGAGTCCTAGCGGCAGTCCAGGCTGCCCGGAATGCTAACATCTTTGTCATTTTTGTTGTACTGGACAATCCCAGTTCCCGGGTGAGTGACCACTAAAAGTTGCTTTATCTGGGGATAAAGTGGGGATTCCCTTCAACCTGTTCTATCTGAAATCTGTCACAGCTCCTACTGATGTCCTGTCATATGATATTAGTTTTTTGCAAATAACCTAGTGAGGGTAGGGGTCATTATTCCCACTTTCCAGTGAAGGCCAGAAACACAGACTATAGGTAACGAGTAGGAAAACCAGAATTCAGACAGATTCCAGAGACCACCCTCCTAACCACTTGCTGGCCAACTCCTACTCTTGTGTCATCTTTGCCCTCCGCAGTGTGTCCTTGCAGGCATTGCAGCCTTGATACCGTTCTTGCCCACTTGAAACCGTAGACCAGCCCATTCCTGTTCCTTGGATCCCAGCAGTGCCCTTCTCAGAGCAGGATGCAGCGGTGCTCAGTGAAAGATGCTCACGGGGCAGTTCTGTTCCAGGGACAGCACTGTCTCTGCAAGCCACATTAGGGCCTGGATAACAAGTGGGAAGACTTACTGTGAATTACTCCAAATAGTAAATGAGAGAATACCCTTATAGGAAAATTGGATTTTCTTGTCTGCCCTTTTCCCTCCCTTTCAGTGTCACTTCTCCTGGAAAAGGTGCACAGAAAGGGATCTGCCTTCTCAACAGGAGTTCTAAAAATTGTTCCTTAGTAATAAAAGCTAATAAAAAAAAAGTAAAAAATAAAAATAAAAAGCTAAGCAATAAAAGCTTTAGCAGACTTGATATAGGGGACCTAAAGATCGTTAGTGAAAGAGATCAGGGAAAAGCTAGTCAGGGATACTGTTTTATTAATTTCAAAATGTTTTCTGTTGACAGGATTCTATCTTGGACATTAAAGTACCAATATTTAAAGGACCTGGAGAGATGCCCGAAATCCGATCCTACATGGAAGAGTTCCCATTCCCCTTCTATATCATTCTTCGTGATGTGAATGCGCTCCCTGAGACACTCAGCGATGCTCTGAGGCAGTGGTTTGAGTTGGTGGCAGCCTCCGACCACCCATAGAGAAGGAAAACAGTCTAAGATGAGACTCTAAACCATGGTCAGACTGCGGCGCCTTTGGCCAGGTGCTCCCTCTTTTGGACAAGTTCTTCTGAACTCGCAGCTCTAAAATATGCTTTTTATCTTAAATCTGTCTGATTTATAAAAATTCACCTAATAATGACAAAGTTTGATTACAATCTACATTTTGTTTTACACTGTGCTTTCTGAGCTAGAGAGAGCCTGGGCCGTCTGCTTTGCCTGGGCTCCAGCTGTCACAGTGAAGGAACTTCAGTGGTTGTGTCTGGTCTTGGAAGGCCCAGCCTAAGAGGAGGCCTGGGCCAAGCTACTTTTGCTCCTCACAGGACCCCTGAACACCTACCTGGAGAAGCCGCTAGGAGAATAGGACGGTTCCAGTCTTTTGGACAAAGGACTAAAGGCAGCTGCCCTTTTGACCCTGCTCTAAGGCTTCACCTTCAAGCCACAGTGTGTATCCGTGTCCTGCCAAAAGACACTGAGCGGCCACTTTCTAGAGTCCTGAGGGTGTGTGTTTTCTCACTGCGTTTCATGTAACAGGAACTGCCTTCTCTTTGAGGGTAGGAGGGTTGGGGTATATGTGTTCTTACTGGATGGTATAAAAATGAAGTGGCTTTTCTGTTGTCCTTCATGGTTGCTGCTTCGGAAGACTATGCAATGATGCAAAGCTGATTGTCCCTTAGGTATCTCATTCTCTCTGTGCCACAGTCCCTGTTGTTGTATTTATTTCTTTATTTTATTTTTTCCTTAGCAATTAAGGGGAAGAATCATTCCTCCACTGCTTTTAAGCTGGACTGAGCCAGCCCCATTCTGGAAAAGAAATGCTGTATTTAGAAAAACTAAGCAGCTACATTTTTTTTCCCCAGTCAAAATACATCAATGGTTTTTAGTCGGTTTTTACTTGGTCAGAAAGCACTGCTTGAATACTTGAAATTATGTGCTGTGTTCTATTTAAGTTGTGGAATGTTCTTTTGTAGACAACATGCCCTGATATAATTGTCTATCTCCACATTTGTTTTCAAATTACACTGTGAAGTTTACCACACTTTTGAGGTGGTCATCAAAGACAAATTGCTTGTTGTTTAACCAAGTGTCCTAAAGCATGTACCTGAGGTTATATCATTTTTTATTCTAAAAAGCTATGCAGCTTATATTCTGAAGATTATTAAATATATACCACTGTTGATATAACTTGTGACCCTTCTGAATGGAAACATGACAGGTGTGTAAAAGGTACGCTAGGGGACGATCTTGCCTGCTCCATCAGTCGGCTGTCCCTGGCTTACGCTGTGCTGCCCTGGTCCGCACAAGGTCCCTGGCTTACTGCCACAAGGGTCTCTCATTTGTGTCTCGTGACCACAGTGGCTGAGCTGACCATGCTGGCCTCGTGGCAGAGGAAAAGGTAAGTTGGTGAAAAACACACTGGCTTGCAAAGATTTTGCTCCAAATGACATGTTTTTTCCACTCACATTTCATTGGCCGTAGCCCTTTGTGATGGGTCAGGTAGGGAAAGACACCACCATTCTGACCAGGATGTGGTCTATCACATCTACCTTTGAAATTGTACCAGGTAAGCTGGAGCTTCCCAGCGGGCACCCAAGAGTACTCTTTTCAGCTTGTGCTGTGATGGGAAAAGGGAGGGAAAGGATACAAAAGATTCTCAAGATACTACAGGGTGTTGGTCCTGCCAGCCAAGTAATAAAATATTCTAGGGTTACATGAAATAACCCCGAACAATTTGTTCAGATCCTAAAAAAATCTACCTTAATGGGCAAAGCCCAAGAAGAAAGATTTAATAAATGTTATCAAAATTAGTGTAGCAATTGGAAAAAAGTTAGACATCCACGTCAAGCCATAAAGCAAACTAGATGGAGTAAATATTTTAAAAGTTAACAATGAAGACAATAATGTAGGATTGCAAAGTTCTTTAGGGGAGAAACTGAAATTGAAAGCTCAAAAGAAAAATACATGACTCATATAGAAACTTTTTAAAACTAATATAAACAACTTTCTTAAAGAACAGGCAAACAAGCCATACAAAATTAGAATACAAACCTGATTACCATAACTGGACCAGTCATGACAATTCACAAAGTGGGTGGCAAGGGCTATTTCATGAATTCTTATAAGAATTTTTATTGCCAACAAGAGAAAACTTCAAAAAGTAGGCATAGTTAGCATCACCCATTCAATACCTGGTCATGTTCCAGAAAGGTAGGCATTGAGAGTGTGTGTGGCAGGTCCTGTTCTCAGTGCATTATGCCCAACGCAACTCTGAGGTAGATCGCATTTCACTTTGTAGATGAGGAAGGAGGCCAGGAGAGGGTGAGGTTGCTGAAACGATACAATTAGGAAAAAGGGACACCAAAGTATTCCAGCAAGTGGGCAATCAAGTAAATGCTCAGCAAATGGGTAACCAAATGAACATTTTTGGCTGTAATTCAGAAAATTCTATTTGACAAACTATAGCAAAGATTCACCAACCCTACCTACTTACATAAATTGAAGGCATGTGTGTGTTGGGAGGATAAAACAATTATGAGGAAATAAAAGCTTAAGTTGTGGGGACATTCAGTTCCTCATTACTAGTGATACAAAATTGTTATAACTACAATGGAGCAGCTATTTAAAACCTCAGAATTAATGAGAAAATAAAGGGAAACTTTGTTGAAGTAGAGTTGGGAGACTAGAAAGGAAAGCTGGACCAACCACTCAGTGTCCCTTCCAGGAAGAGTGATGAATTACACAGACATGCCAGTTATAGATCCCGCAGGTCGACAGTTAAGAAACAATTACAGGCCCCAAGAGGGAAAAAGATGTGAGAGGCGCAGTGTGCAAGAAATCAGCTACCCTTGCAACTCCATGAAAAATCATCTTGCCTTTTCCCAATGGACTTTTCAAAACAACTGCTTCTCAACTTCCATCTCTGTAAAATAAGTTCCTCTCCTTTATCAGGCTTGCCTGTAGTTTTTCCATAGCTTACATGTCCCCAACTGCAATTCTCTATTCCCAGGTAACCCGCTTTTGTTGGTAAAATAACCTTACAGTTAAGAAGAACATAACTAACGGCAACCAAGAAGATGCCACCATGGTTGCAAACAAAAGACCAGGATGAAAACAAGGAAAAAAAGACAAAAGAACAGGACACAAACATTAAAATTTTTATTTCTAACTATGCACATGTAAAAAGCTCAATGGGAATACGGTTTCACCCCTCACTAACTTAACCAGTGCCAGGAACTGGGGCAGTTGCCTTACCATTCCTATTATCACAAATTTGTGACGCAAGAACTGCTATCCCCCTCGCAACCCCCAGAAAGTGTATTCTAGGACAAAACTGCCCAAAGCTTTATAGCTTCAGTTCAGACAAAGTGTGATTTGGCAGCCAACTGTAACCAGCAGACTGTCTCCCGGGAAACCAGGCTAGCCCCGCCCCCGGTTACACCGCCACTTCCGCTCCTGCGCACTAGAGTTCTAGGGAGACCGGTGCTACCTGGAGGAAATGGCTACTTCTCGCTTACCCCCGGCGACACTGACGTTAAAGCAGGTAGAGCCCGTTTTTGTCAGCCTTTTTAGGGCAGCTTTCCTTGATCTGATCTCAATTATCCACCCCACCCTGCGGAGTGGGTCGCGGGGGCGGGACTTCCTAATGCGGAAGCCGGCTGTAGGGGTGGGGAGGAGGGGGCTGCCCTTTGGCCCTGGCTGGGTTCCTGAGGCGGGCGGGCTGTGGATATCTTGGAACTTTGATGCCTCGGCCACGGTGAAGTCTGAGCTATGGTAAAGAGTGAGATCGCCAAAGAATTTTAACTGCGTTGGTTTAAAAAAAAAAAAAAAAGTGCTGTTACTGTAGTTACAGCCTCTAGTAACTGGTAGTCTTTTCTCTGCTCAGTGGTCATCTCTTGATGATAAGGGTTCTTAGGTTTGATAAAGGAGTAAGCAAACAGCCCAAATATACTCTTTGCCTTTTTCTTAAAAGGGAAGTTTTTCTTTGTCCTTTTCAAAATTGACGACCAGAGAGAAGTCATCTATTTTGTTTGGTTTCCTAAAGTACAGCCCTCTGGGCTGTAGATTTTGCAGTTGTAATTGACATTTCTCCTCCTCTCTACAGTTCATGAGAAGGCAACAAGTTCTCCTTCTCTACAGAAGGATTTTGCAAGCAATTCGCGAAGTTCCAAATGATTCTGATCGCAAATACCTGAAGGACTGGGCAAGGGAAGAATTCAAAAGAAATAAAAGTGCCACTGAAGAGGTGAGAACAAGATCATGGTGAGGACAAGCCCTGACCATTTTGTGTTAGTTAAAATTTTTTTTTTTAAGTTTAATAGACATTTTGGAATATAGGATCATGGAGATATATCTACATCTTCATCATTCCTTTTAATGTTACCAATTTTCCACTCAAATGATATTTGAAATTTTATGATCTTTACAGTATCATCACCTGACTTTTCTGTTAAATCAGATATACATACACACATGTGAAAAGATTATAAATAAGACAGCATGATGGTTTGGGAAGTATGATGACTGGGGTTTATGAAAGCATGCCAAACACTGTGCAGTTTGGGGTTTTCCCAATACACAGTAGCTCCAGTTCTCTGTGTTGGTCCCTAACAAATGAAATGATAGAGCTGTACCTAGTGTAACCAAGTAAAATAGTGACCAGCTTTCACTTTCTTCTACAGGACACAATCCGGATGATGATTACTCAAGGCAATATGCAGCTCAAAGAGCTAGAAAAAACCCTTGCTTTGGCAAAATCTTAACTGTAGCATTATTCTGAAAGACTGAATTTCAGAATTTCCATGTGTATCGTTGAGCTGATTAGACTCAATGATGGGCAGCCTAAAAGCAAGTCAAACTGTTCAGTACCTGGAAGAATGACAGAACACGGAGCACGGCACGTCAGAGCAAACAAAAGCACATCAGAACAATCGCCTTAACACTGAAAAACATACCCTTGAAAATGTTTTTGGATATGTCAGCAATTCAAGTAGCAAAAACCAGTACAAGTGGTTAGCACGTACAATCCTCAACATCATTAACCCTCTGGGAAATGCAAATTAAAACCACACTGAAACAGTAACTACCTCCACTGGAATAAATACAACTAAAACAGTTAGTAGCAAATATTGATAAAGATGTAGGGAAATTGGACCCCTCATATGTGCTGTGGGAATATCAAATGGCACAGCCACTCTGGAAAACAGACTGTCAGTTGCTTCAAAGATTAAGTTGACCCACACAAGTCAGCAGTTTCCTCCTAGGTTTATAACCAAGAGAACTGAAAATCTTTCTATAAAAAACTTGTATGGGAATATTCATAGCAGCATTATTCATAATAGCCAAGAAGTAGAAGCAATCCAGAGGCCCATCAGCTGAGAAACGATTAAATACGATGTCTGTAGAATATTATTTAGCAATAAAAAGGAATGAAGTACTGATAACATGTCTGCTACACATGGATGAACCTGAGACCAGTCACTAATGATCACACGTTGTACGATTCCATTTATATGAAGTATCTAAAATAGGAAGAAAGAGGTGGTTGCCCAAGTCTGTGTGGATAGCATGGCAAGTAATTGCTAATGGATATGGGGTTTCTTTTCTGAGTGATGAAAACATTCTAAAGTTACAGTGGGGCTCCTGGTTGCATAACTCTGATTATACTAAAGTCCATTGAATCGTATATTTTGCGTGTATGATATATGAATTATACTTCAGTAAAGGTTTTACAGATTTTTTGGCTGATGTAGAATTGACAGAATACTGTGTAAGTCAATATTTTAAGAAACATACCATATGAGACGTATGGAAGTATACTGACCTCAGGAGATGCCCTGGACCTTTCTTGAAAAAATCCTCCTGCATTACTGAGGGTTGTTGAGGTAGGTTCCTCAGATGGGTCATGATCCAGTCATCCAAGGATTCTCTGAAAACATCATCACTGGGAATATAGATCTTTGTTGGAAAGAAGAGAGAAACTTAATGAACACATTGAGGCACTTGCCAAAAAGAAGAGGCAACAGCATCTGGATGAAACTAATGCAATTATCTTAGCATCCGCATAGAAGTGAGACCGTCAGGGAAGATCCTTGGTGCATTAGGTTCTCCTCCAGTGACAGGAAGAGAAAGTTTGCAGAATACATTGGAGACGAGAAGTTGACCTGAGGATACTCTGACCAAATAATGTACAACAGTTAATTTAGTGAAAGTGAAAGCTTATGGAAGAGGCGGGATTGGCAGTCCCTACAGACGGATGTCCTCTGTTCTTTTACAGAACAGATCTAAAAAGGTAATCCCAGAATCTGACCAGCACCTGAAAAATCTAGGAGAAATTCTGCAGAATGATAAATGGTTACCTAGTACTGGACTGCACACCAGAAGGAAGAGAGAGGCAGAAGGAGGCGTTCATCCATGGCCTGCCTGCATCGCCAGGCTCCACCCGCCCAGCCCACAGGCTCAGCCCACAAGATAAAATAATTCTAAATGTTCTTCAGCCAGGTTATCTAATTCAAAATGCATGAGCTAATTATCAGATATGTACATCGTCTTACATCAGTCAAGCTATTGCCAAGCCATCTGATGGGCAGAAGCCTTTGTGAACAGTCTGTGAACAAAAAGCACTTTCCTTCTTGCAGCGTGATATGCCTGTTCAAGTATAGGCAACTTCTAGTAAATCTAAAATCTTGACACTACAAATCACCTTTTCATGAGGTGTAGAAATCAGTGACTTGGTGACATTCTTCCTAGCAGTGGTGTATGTCAAAGATGTAAGAGCATTTGTGGTTTAAGTTTGTAAGATGCAATTAACAGACGCCAAGAAAACAGAACTTGGGATTTGTTTTTTTTTTTTTTAAATTGGGCGAAACACTACAAAATTGAATTTTCATTTTCCAGAGGCTAAGATTATTATAACCTTTAATAATGGACAGCGTTTGAGCGCTAAATCAATCTTAGGCTAAACAACAGTTTCTCCTCCCCTATGAAACCATGCTCATTAAGATGGCCAGGTTCTAACTCCTGGTAGAACACATTCTATTTAGCATCTTTGTCAGTGTTCTGGCTTAGACAACAAATTACCCTTCTGGGTATTCCCTGTGAACTATACTTGCATGGGGGCGCCTGGGTGGCTGAGTCGGTTTAAGCATCTCAGTTTTGGCTCAGGTCATGATCTCAGCATCATGAGATCGAGCCCTGCCTCAGGCCCTGTGTTGGGCCTGGAGTCTGTTTAAGAGTCTCCCTCTCCCTCATTCCCTACCCACCCTCTAAAACAAAACAACCCCACAACTATACTCTTATCTGAATGTTGGAAGTTTTGTTCCTGAAGTTTAATTTTAAGGTACTTGTTCAGTCTATGTATTTCAACTACAGTAAGTCAAATCTTTATATTAAGATTTTTTAAATATCAGAACTTTCTAGCATGAGGGTAAGTAGCTAGGGCTATCATTTAGCATCCTGAGTATCCCTACGTCATTACCTCCTTTGAAGTGTACCCTCGGGTTGGAAGTTTCTAAACTCAGCACAGGCCTTGCTATGGGTGGGCCTGCAGAGGCCGTTCTCCTGTTTGAGGAAAGCAGCACATACTCTCTGGTGTTTATATTATCGGAGTCACACAAGCAGACACTCAGGAGAGGGTGAGACCCACACTTACCCAAATGCTCTTTAACAGAAGAAAAATGCTAGTCAAACAACAGAAGGAAACGGCTCACATCTACTGTGGAAAAACACTGGGATTATGTAGAGTAAGGTATGGTCCAAGCAGAATAAAACAAACTGTCACTTCGTGCCAAACTCGAAATCACCACAGCCTACTTCCTTCCTTCAGGCAGGCATCTGAGCAATTCTGTCAGGATTAAATTGCTATTTTTGTTTACAAGGAAGAGGAAATTGCTTTTTACCTATTCTGGTTTGCATTAGGGAAATTTCTGTGTTGTTTCCCGATTATGTGTCTCATGGATTTAATATATTCATACTTACCATATTTTGACAATATTACAGAAGAATATTTCCCTTTAAAATCCACAGAAAACAATTTGAAATTTTTTTTCTTACAAGTATTCTAAAAGGTCACTGGTTTTGTCTTCTAAATCTTAATCGATTTGGCTTTTCTATCACAGGAAGATATGTATTTAGCTTTTACGAATAATTTGTTACAAAATGTTATTTTGCCTGCATACAGTTTTAAGCGAGGTTTTGTTCTCTTGGTTCAGTATTTTCTAAAGGTCAACAATTTAAACAAAACCTTAAAGCTTGCACTGAGAAGTATTTACGTAATTGCCAAAATTTATTTTTCATGCAGTACACCTGATTTCTAATTTAAACCAGATGTATTTACCAGAAGTTACCCTTCTATCAAAACAAGGCAAAGTGTGTCTGCATGAAGGCACTCTTTCTGGGAACCATAAATTTGGTCAACCAATCAAAAATATCCACTATATAGTCACACTTTCATTTTTAAAATAAGGATTTTAATATCCATAATGTTGAGAACCATGTTTAATGCTTAGAGGAGACAAATTCAACGTAATAAAAATATTAAATAGAAGACAACATATCTCTCAAGTAGCAGTGCTTGACTGGAAAAAAAAAAAAGATTTAAGCATGAAGACATCAATTTATTTTGGACTCCCAGAGTCAAAAGCAAGATTGGACTTATGTTCAATCTAACCACAGATTTTCGTTTACTCAGTGCAGTAATTCACTAACAAAAACCCCACTGCAGTATTATACCACTTTTCTGTGTTCTACATCATTTTCCCCCGTAGCTATTGAAAGTTCCAGTCTCTGTTTCAAACACGACCCACATGACAGACTCTCAATTAATAGTTTTGCTTCTTTGGAAGAGTACTAGGATGGCATTCACTCATTTGTAGCAGATAGCAGAAGGGAAAAGTAAGACACCTATCAGACCCAAAGTTGAATTTTTGACAATACTAAAGAACAAAGACCCAGTTTTTGAAAATAAGCCATTGGTCTAGAGATGCTGCCACCATTTTGGGTTGGGAGGCTGACTGATGGTGTTCGGTTTCCCTGCCTCTGCTGGGTTTCCCTTCTGTTAGACAAGGAGCCGTGTCATCTGCCAGACCAGGTGCCTTTGACTCTTCTCATTCCTCCCCAGTCTCTTCCCTGGGACCTGAACAAAAATACCCAGTTCGCAGTGATAAGCCACCTCCTTCTGATGGGTGGAGGTTACACAAACAAAATCCTTCCTTCCAAAGCACTCTATGGTTGAGATAAAATTTCATTTGTTTTCAGCATTTCTCAACAAGGATACTTCTTGGGGTAACAGGATGTATTTAATGAGTGAAAAGAACTGCTTAGACAACAACTTCCTATCTCAGGATTTCATCTGAGTATCGGGCAGTTCTCAAGAAACGGACGTGTACTGAGGAAGGATTCTAAAGCTGTCCGTGACGCCTGACTGGGGGACCCGAGAAACTGAAGGTACCATCTCACTCTGGTTCTGCCTCAGGAGCGCAGAGGGGAATGAGGAGACGAAGGCGGCTCTCCACGGAGCAGTGCAACAGGAGTCCCTACAGGAGAACCACACAGCCTTGACGGTAGCTGAGGAACAGGACAAGCTCACAGACAGGAACATCAGCTGGAGAGGACAGGACATTGACTCCCTGTTCGGGTTGTATAATGGTGACCTACACCTAGATCTAGATTTGTTAGGAAGGTCTCTGTCCATAGATTGTCACTATTAAAAAACAAAAACAGGGACGCCTGGGTGGCTCAGTTGGTTAAAAAACAAAAACAGCTGCAAGCCTGATTAGGCAGAAACAAAGGAACTGTAAATATACTGTGTTTTCCTGGGTGTGCCCATGTCAGGAAAACATTTTCTCTTTGGCTCAATGAGCAACATTTTACTCAAAGTTAGGGACAACAGTACTCCGTTCCTGTGCTGTTAGGATGGGGATTTCTGTGCATACATGGAATCTGGAAGAGAGGAATATAATCCCACATACCAAGGGACAAGAAGTATAGAAGAGAAATCCAAAATTCAAGCTACCTAAGCCACTTCTACAACTTTGTATATTCCACAGAGCAGAGCAAAATCCTCGGGGCTCCACAAAGCTGGGAAACAGTGGGGTCTAGCTCAAGTTACTGAATTATTTTACCTTGAAAGAATCACTGCAAAGCAGTGGGAAACTTTTGAGGCTCTTTAAGGACAGGACACAATGAGAAGTGAAATACTTTCAAAAGAAATAGCCTTACTTCTCTATAAAATGTATACTGATAAGTTCAAATTTAGAAAGGTACTCTTGGATAATCGGGTGTGATTAAGGATAGAAGTTTCAGATAGTTTTTAGATGAATGTTTTTCCATTAATCTTTAAAATCAGTAGGATTAATCAATCATAATACTACTGTATTTGGCTGAAAATACAGAAACAATGACCAGTGATTTGAATGTTTCTCATTTGAGTTTATTAACAAACATTCCCAGTGCTATTAGCCAATTCCTCATTAAGTACCCACCGACTCTGCAAAATCTTTTAAGATATACTGGATCTAGTGACATCATGAAAATCTTTTTCTCCTCCAAATCTATTTGATAAGTTTTCATCTGGTTAAAGGGTCAGCATTTGAGAAGTAGGAATCTGAAAGGGGATGTGCGCATCTCAGCCTCAGTTCTTACAGAAAGATACTCTTTTCTGGGCCCAGCGGGTGTGCACCAAAGGAACGGCCAACAGCGTTCACAAGGGATTTGCTTTTCTTCTTCCATTTGACTTATATTATTTCATACATCCTGAATTTTAGGGTTTAGGCTCGACGCATCGTACAGCTGCTTAGCGTGGCTCACCTAATCTGAGCTTTTGAATCTCAGATGACCCTGGTCTGAGGTTATGAATTTGTAATGAAACCTGCAACTAAGCAAGTGTCCCCTGGTTTCAGTCTCACTGTTGAAGTCGTCATAACTTCAGGGCATGGGAAGCTTGCGTCTGGCACATTTCAGAAATTCGACTGTTTTTTGAAAGGCAAGTCCGCCACGTGCGCGATAACAGACATGTTGGCCATAGCTCTTCTAGAGCTGCAAAGCCAGGAATCCCTTCTTGTGCAGCTCCCCAGGTCCTAGTTTTCTTTCTGCACCTTCGTCCTTAGTTTAGCAAGTTCTTCTTCTAAACTTTTAATATGTTCCTTCAGGGTGGCCTTGTCTTGCTGGGCCTTCTGACTGGCTTGGCTTCGTGCTTCCTCAATCTTCCTTTCATACCACTTTTCCATCTGGGTAGAAACGGCCTCAAAAAAATACTGGGTGATCTCCAGAGCTTGGGAGGTGTCTCGAATGTGAGGGGCGGTCTGCTCGCTGCCTGCTGCTGGTGGCGGCAGCCCACAGGGGTTGCTGGGTGCTGGGTGCTGGGTCCGATGCCTTGTCTGACCACTTTTCCCAGACTTCTTGGTTTGGGTGCCTCTGTCAACACAGGGCCCAGCCTGCTGATCATTTCTGGCTGCCTCTTTCAAGGGTAGCAAGGCTGTCTGGACCTTGACATTCCTCAGTCGAGAGCCTGTACAGTCTGAGGAAGACAGCTCCTGCTGTAGTCGGTGGGTAGCGGTGGAGTTGAAGGCCTTTTCCTTGGGCCTCACCACCTGAGGAGAACTGTCAGAAGCTGCTACTGGACCTGCAGTGACCACTGATTGATCCACACCTAGTTTCGGAAGGAAAACAAAACCACATTCACACAGTCCTATAGCTCTGGGTTGGCATTTCAGAGTCCTGATAATCCTATAAACCGTCAGCCTTCCCAAGAGCCCACCACCATGTGCAGTTTTTCCTCTGCCTTCCCCGCTTTCACTTCCCCCCGATGATCATTTTGGCTTGGTAGGGCTTAACAACATTGGTGGCATCTAAGCCAAAAAAGTTGCTGGCCTTTCCTTTAGCCAGCTAGAAAGCTTAGAAGGTTCTGGGTATCATTTTGTGATTGCTAAGGATGTGCAAGGATCTCCAAAACAGAACTGGGTATGTACTGATGATACTGAATCTGCCCATTCCCTAATTTCTGGGCCTTTTCCACACCCCCAGTTATTAGCTCCTTGACTCGAGCCCCAGTTTGGTGAGGTGGTCATATTCTCTATACCCAGAGCTCCAGCCAAGTTCCATAAAGAGACCTGGCATGACAAATTTGCCCAGGTTTTCCCCAATGTTATGGGCACAAAGAAGATACAAACCACAGTTCCAGAAATGGTCTACAATAACATAATATGCTTGACATATCAGAATTCCTCACAGAGGCCTAATTACAAAGGCTCTAAGTGTCCTCAAAATTATCACTGAGTAAAAGCACTGTGGCTAATGAGAAGACACTTTGCTTGAAAGATGTCTCTGTCTAGCACCTTGGGGCAGCCTCAATATAGGAACTGCTGCTCACGGAGGCTTTACATAGTTGGACAAAGGTCAAATGCTGATCAGGGAGAAGAAAGGAGAAAGTAGCCCAAGGGCCAGGGCAAGAGCCCTGCCGAGGAGACAGATGTTCATTCCTCACTCTTCATCTTTGGGACCTACTCTGACACCATCAACACTGTACCTGAAACACTGTCATCACCAGTCAACAATTATTTTACTCCTTCATTTAGATATGTCTGAATACTTAAATAGGAGTACTTTCCTACTGTATAGCAACTGGACGTACAGCGGTAAGCAACGTATGTCCTTAGCCCTATAGAATTTACAATCTGGTGTTTTCCACAGCCCTATCCTAGGGGCTGCCTTTGGATACAGCAGAGAACAATCTCGGGGGTTTTACCACCTTTGGGTGGAATGGTGCTCTCTGCACACGCGTTACCTGTAGAGGACTCGCAAGTAGATGGTGTGGATTTGGTCCTAGAGGCCCTAGAATCTCCAGAAAGCTTCAGCTCCAGATTCTGAATCTTTAACATGCACCAGGTTTTTAATTCATCCACCAGTGACATCTAAGAAAACAAAACAAAACACACACACACACAAACCCACACAAATGATCAGGTGAGTTGCGCATGTGGTTTATGAAAGAAAGCATCAAGAGTGGACTCTTCAGTTATGATAGTTCAGAGCATCGTCTTGACCCGCCTAAAAGCTGTGGCTTATCTCCCTCCCCGCCACAAGCCACACAGCCTTCTCTGCTGCCCTCTGCAGACCAAGCTTCACCCAGCACCAAACCTGACAGTTTCTATAATCTGAGTGGCTTAGGGCAAGAGATACCTTTAACACCCAAAGCTTCCCAAATCCTACGAATCAAGAGTATCTGGCTGCTTAGGAGCATGAACTCACACACACTCAACAAGGACTCAGTTTATGTTGTCTTAGGGAGACAAACTCCCCAAGGGCAGGAACCAAGCCTCGCTCAGCAACAGAGCAATGCCCAACAGACGCACAGTACACAGAAGTGATTCAAAGCAGAGACCACAGCTTCCCCAGCATATTCTGTGAACGGTTTAGTCTCCACCTATTGCCAGAAAATTCGGCAACAAAAGGACTGAACTACATGTTCTTTTCTATTCGTTATATAAATGAATAAAAGGACATTGTAAAGAGGACATGTTACACGTTACAAATGCTTTCCTGGGCTCCGGGCCTCTGGGTTTTCAGTGATGGTCTTATCTCAGTGGAGGGGAGTGGTAAATACCCAGCTAAGGACAGATCCTGGTTTTCACCTGTCGTTTCTCTCCCTCGTGCTTCTCCGTGTCCGAGTGCTGCTGCAGGCGGTTCAGGCACTCGGTTCTCTCCGCTGAGAGCCGCTCCACCATCAGCTTGTCCAAAACACGCATCTAGGATTCAACGGGCAGACAGCGTAGGACTGAGACGATCTAAGGATGGGTCCCGGTCTCTTAACTCCTGAGACGGGGCTCTGGGGGACCGAGCAGGGGCCAGAGAGAATAGAAGCAAACCTCAACTTCTCTTCTACCCTTGTTTCATCTAGTCTCCATCAGACTCCAGGTTTTCACCATCCCTGAGCCTGTTTCTGTATAGTCAAGGCTTCTTCTTCTCATTTATTAAAGTCCTAAGGGACTGAAGAGACTGAACACGCAGTAAATTTAAACTTAGGCCAACAGACCTTGTACCTAGAATTTTTATAGGTTTCAGAACCTTATTTCCAAGACTATCATTGAAATGAAAAACTATTTCTAAAAGACTGCAGCCGGGGGTGGTGCCTGGGTGGCTCCGTGGGTTAAGCCTCTGCCTTGGGCTCAGGTCATGATCTCAGGGTCCTGGGATCGAGCCCCGCATCGGGCTCTCTGCTCAGCGGGGAGCCTGCTTCCTCCTCTCTCTCTGCCTCTCTGCCTGCTTGCGATCTCTGTCTGTCAAATAAATGAACAAAATCTTAAAAAAAAATAAAATAAAATAAAAGACTGCAGCTGTACCCTTCCAATTAGTTCTTAACACCCCACCCGAAGCGTCAGTGGCTGCCTGTGAGGTAGCGAAAGAAGCCGAACGCTCAGCATTTTACCCAGTGTCCAATGAACAAACGCCCTGGGGCTTCCCTGAGAGGAACCAAAGCAAGCGTGAAGAAGGATGGGGAAGGGGCTTAAAGGGCTTGCGTCAGAGAACAAATGATTGTCCCCTTTCAGTCGCACCCCCCTGGCTCTCCCCAACATCATGACATTCCCCTGCAGGGCCCTCACACCCAGGAGAGCCAAACTTCCGCTGCTCAGACAAGGCCCGAACAAGGGAGAGGAAACTTGTCGGCAGGGGCCAGCCCACAGGGGCTCGCTGCTGGGCTCGTCTCCTGTCAGGGACACACAGGAAGCTCAAAAAACTAAAAGAGCAGCAGAAGGTCTGGAGATGCGGTGAGCACCTTCTGTTTGGTTCCTTCAGCCCTCCTGTCTTCCTGTGGGCCGCTCTCCGGTCTCCTCAGATTGGCCGACTCCCCTCCCTCCTTATCCCGGTCACGGAGTTGCTCTAACTTAGCCCCAGGGCACGGCTGACCGATGCCTGCGAAGGACTCAGGCCACCCCAGAGTCCTTTACCTGCGATCAGGAATTAGGACAAAGAGTCTACACCCCCGTCCGTCACCCTCCTTGAAATGAAGTGAGGTCCTTGAGAAGATCCAGCATTTATCGAATACACTCCTCTCCGGGCTTAGGCTGGCTGAAGGGGGTTTTATTTATAAGACAGTCTTAACTAATATATTATGGCACTAGGAGAAGACTTCTTGAAGGGGCTTTCCATGAAGTACAAATAGCAGAGGAACCTAAAATTCTCTACCTCACCAACAAACAAGGAAACCAGAATTAAACAATATTCTTAATCAGTTCAGCAAAAGCTTCAAAAATGGTAATATTAATGACTGCAAAAGTTCAAGATGGAGACTCAATTTATATCCTTACCCGGCCTGTTGGATATAAATTCACACAACTTTTCTGTTAAGTAGATTACTAATATTTGTCAAGAGCCTTAAACATATTCTTTTTTTTTTTTTTTTAAGATTTTATTTGTTTATTTGACAGAGACACAGCGAGAGAGGGAACACAAGCATGGGGAGTGGGAGAGGGAGAAGCAGGCTTCCCGCAGAGCAAGGAGCCTGATGTTGGGCTCGATCCTAGGACCCCAGGATCATGACCGGAGCCAAAGGCAGATGCTTAACGACTGAGCTGCCCAGGCGCCCCAAACATATTCTTAACTCTGGACCCAGTTATCCTAAATCTGAGCAAACAACTTGAAAAGCAAACGTTTACCCACATAAATGTTCATCAGGGCATTATTTATAAGAGTGAAAAACTATAAGCAATTTCAAAATCTAATAAAAAATACGCTGGAATATTATGAAGCAAAGGACATGGGAAAGTGCTCAGGATATCAAATCAGGTGAAAAAAGCTGGTAGCAAAAATATACAACTTAAGGTGACCTAACCTAAGGTGTCATCTAGTCTTCATCAGACTCTAGGTTTTCACCGTCCCTGAGCCCGTTTCTGTGTAGTCAAGTCTTCTTTTTCTCATTTGTTAAAGTCCTAAGGGTTTGAAGAGACTGAGCCCACAGTGAGTCCACAACTTGAGCCAATGCAGACCTAGTATTAAGGTAACCTAAGGTGTAACTCAGGGAGGTGAGTGGTGCTTGGGCGAAAGTGGTGATGGGGGTTAAGGAATGAACTTCATGGGACGAGCCCTGGGGGATGTGTGGAATTGCTGAACCACCCCACGGCACACCTGAAACAGAGCACTGTTAACTATGCTGGATGTGGGAAACAAACATGTAATAGACAAAACTGAATTACATGTTCCACTCCATACACGGAAGAGTACATTGCCCTTAATTAGCACACCAAAACCCAAGACGACTAGGACATTACCAAATTTAAACATAAGCTTAAAGATGGTCCGAGATGGTGAGGCAGTAAGACCCTGTCGTCTCCTCCACAAACACACCAAATCTACACCTATTTATAGAGCAATTCCTCCCGATGACCTGGGGGATGACGGAGCAGTTTCTGCACCACAGAAGATAGACCATACAGAGAACAGCAAAGGAGACAGAGACGCGGTAACAGAGGGAACCCCCCGCCCCAACACTGAACTGTAGTGGAGACAGTACTGAGGGAAGGTGGGAAGATTTGTCTGCCCTGGTGCACAGAAAAAAAGCCAGGATTTAAGAGGGCAGCGAGAATACAAAGGAACCAGAACCTGCCAAATGTCAGGGCAGCCACTGGAACACTCTCTGGGTCAGAAGGGCTGGCAAGCACCAGAGTCTATGTTCCTCCTTCACCTTGATATTGCGGAGCAGGGCCTGGGAACCCCCACCATCCTGCCACCTCAACGAGCCCTGCCCTAACCCTCAGCAGCCCGATCTGTCCCACCAAGGCAGCCCCAGCATGGTACAGTGCTCACGACAGTTCCAGCCGTTTGGCCAAGGTGACACAGGCTCAGAGTACCTTGAACACTCCAGGCCCACATCGCTCCAACTCCAAATGACTTGCCAGGGCACACTAAACGCAGCGTTCTGAGTCATCCTGGCCTGAGTCCCCCTTGGCTCCAGATGCTTAAAGGCACACACAGATGATGTGGTAGGGTGCATCCCATGAAGGGCACCCTGGAACACATCACCTCGTACCCACTTTGGCTTCCGCTCACCTGCGTGGGGTCTCTGGCTCAGAGGGCCCCGGGACTGCCCCAATCTGCACTCACTTTAGTTCAGGGCATTCCACTAAGACAGCCCCAATACAAAGATCCTGGGGACCCATCCTGCCCCCGCCCACACCAGCCACAGTTGTGCCAGCCAGCAGAAGTCCCCAAGCACACACCCTCTACATAGGGAATGACCACACATAAGAGCGTTCCTTCAAGTTTAGGAGAAGCAGCTGTTCTGCCTCATTCATAGAAACAAAAGCAGAAAGTCAAGCAAATGAGGAGACAGAGGAATAGGCTTCAAACAAAAGAACAAGACAAAAAAGCAAGAAAAAGAACTAAGCAAAACAGAGGTAACTAATCCTAGTGATAAGGTTCAATGTAATGGTCTTAAAGACGCTCACCAGTTGCACAGAAGGGGATGAACTCAGAACTTCAATAAAGAGACAGAAAACATAAAAAGAAGCAATCAGAGATGAAGAATATAGTAAACAGAAGGAAAAATATAATAGAAGGAACCAACAGACCAGGAGATGAAGAAGAATGAATCTGGAATCTGGGAGATGAGGCAATGGAAAGCACCCAGACTGAACAAGAAGAAAAATGCATTTCGAGATAGCTAGAAACTTCCCTCAGCTGGGGAAGGGAAACCCTAGGTTCAGGAAGCACAGAGAGTTCTAAACAAAAGGAACCCAAAGAAGATACACACCATGACACATAATTAAAATGTCAAAAAATAAAAATAAAGAGAATTTCAAAAGCAGCCAAAGAAAAGTAGTAACATTTAAGGAAATGCCCATAAGGCTATCAGCGGATTTTTCAGAAACTCTGAGGCCAGAGGAAGTGACAGGATATATTCAAAGTCCTGAAACAAAAAAACCTACAACTGACAATATTCAGCCCAGAAGAATATTTATTCTTCAGAATCCAAAGAGAGATAAAGACTTTCCCAAACAGAAGTTAAAAGACTTCGTCACCATTAAAACAGCCTTACAAGAAAATGTTTTTAAAGATTTCATTTGTTTGAGAGAGTGAGTGAGCAAAAAAGCACATGCGAACAGGAGCCAAGGGAAGGGGAGAGGGAGAGGGAAAAGCAGACTCCCCACTGAGCAGGGAGCCTGACATGGGGCTCGATCCCCGGACTCCGGGTTCATGACCAGAGTTGAAGACAGACGCTTAACCCAGGTGCCCCAATCTTACAAGACCTTTTAAAGAGATTTTTTAAAAGTAGTAAAAAGGCAATAATTAGAAAATTATGACAAAAAATTGATGAGTAAAAGCAACATACAGTAAAGTAGTAAAGCAATCACTTATAAAACTAGTATGAAGGTTAAGGGACAAAAGAAGTGAAAGTGTATCTTTAAAGTTAGTTAGGGAAACTCAAAAGAAAAAGAAACAAAATAACATAAAAACCATGGGAGGTGGTCAGTAAAAATGAAGTTCTTTTTTAATGTATTCAAACTTAAGTGACTTTTTTTTTTTTTTTTTTTTGGGAAAGAGAGCAGGCATGTGCACATGAGCAGAGGGTGGCAGTGGGGAGAGGTGGGGCGGAAGGAGAGGGAGAGAGAGAAGCTCAACTATGCTCCGTGCCTGGTGCAGAGCCCAATGTGGGACTTGATCTCATGACTCTGAGATCACGACCCGATCCAAAAATCAAGAGAGTTGGTCACTTAACCGACTGAGCCACCCAGCCTCCCAAAGTGACCATCAATTTAACATAGACTTCTATATACCTAGGATATTATATAGAAATCTCATGGTAAACACAAACCCCAAACCTAAGATACACACACACACATACAAGAAAGTGAAGCAGAACATTAAAGAAATTCACCAATCAAGGAAACAGAGCAAGAGAGGAACAGAGAAGAACTATGAAACAACAAGAAAACAGTAAAATGGCAATAGGTACATACCTATCAATAATTAAATGTAAATTATTAATTATAATTATCAATTATATATAATTATATTAATTATAAAATTTAATTATTAACTAAATGTAAAATATTAAATGATCCAGTCAAAAGATAAGGGGTGACTGAACGGATTAAAAAAATAAGACCCATCTATTTGCTGCCAAAAGATACTTACTTCAGACTTAAAGGCACACACAGACTAAGAGTGAAGGGATAGAAGATATTCCATGCAAACAGAAGGGGAGTGGGGAGAAGGTAGCCAGGGTAGCAATGCTTATATCATAAGAAACAGACTTTAAAACAAAGACTGGGGCACCTGGGTGGCTCAGTTGGTTAAACAACTGCCTTCGGCTCAGGTCATGATCCTGGAGTCCCAGGATCAGGTCCCACATCAGACTCCAAGCTCCACGGGGAGTCTGCTTCTCCCTCTGACCTTCTCCCCTCTCATGCTCTCTCTCACTGTCTCTCTCTCAAATAAATACATAAAATCTTAAAACAAAAAACAAAAAAAGATTGAACAAGAGAAAAAGAAGGGCTTTACATAATGTTAAAGAGATCAATCCAACAAGAGAATTCTAATGATTATAAATACATATGCACCCAACATCAAAGCGCCTAAATACATAAAGCAAATATTAGGAGACATAAAGGGAGAAATTGATAGTAATACAGTAATACCAGGAGACTTTAACTTCCCACTTACATCAGTGGATAAGCCATTCAGATAGAAAATAAAGAAGCTATCTTTTTTTTTTTTTTTAAGATTCTATTTATTTGATAGAGAGTGTGCAAGAGAGAGCGCACACATGCGCACAAGCAGGGGGAGCGGCAGGCAGAGAGAGCAGCAGGCTCGCAGCGGAGGAGAGAGCCTGATGCAGGACTTGATCCCAGGACCCTGGGATCATGACCTCAGCTGAAGGCAGAGGCTCAACAAACTGAGCCACCCAGGTGCCCAGGAAATTGTCTTTGAACCACACATTAGACCATTTGGACTTAACAGGTATTTATAGAACATTTTATCCAAAAACAACAAAATACACATTCAAGTGCACATGGAACATTCTTCAGGATAGATCATGTGTTAAAACTAATCTCAATAAATGTAAAATGACTAAAATCATATGAAGCACCTTTTCTGACCATAAAGTATGAAACTAGAAATCAACTGCAAGAAAAATATGGAAAAACCAAAAACACATGGTTTAAACAACATGCTATTAAACAACCAATGGGTCAACAAAGAAATCAAACTAAAAAAACTAAAAAGAAAAAAAAATATATATATATATATATGGAGACAAATGAAAATAAAAACAATAGTTCAAAATCTTTGGGACACAGCAAAAGGAGTTCTCAGAGGGAAATTTAGGTAATATGGGCCTACCTCAAGAAACAAACAAAATCTCAAACAAAAAAAACTAATCTTACACCTAAAGGAACTATAAGATGAAAAAGCCCAAAGTGAGAAAAAAAGAATAAATGTCAGAGAGAAATAAATGAATCAGAAACTAAATAAAAACAACAGAAAAGATCAGTGAAACCAAGAGCTGCTTCTTTGAAAAGAAAATTAATAAACTTTAGCCAGAATCATCAAGTGACATCATTGCAGTGACATCGATGAACTAGAGGGTATTATGCTGAGTTAAATTAGTCAATCAGAGAAAGACAGTTATCATATGATCTCACTCATATGTGGAATTTAAGGGACAAAATAGAGGACTGTGGGGGACAAGAGAGAAGAATAAAAGAAAATGAAACCAGAGAAGGAGACAAACCATAAGAGACTCAATCACAGGAAACAAACTATGTGGCTGGAGGGGAGTGGGGTGGGGGCTGGGGTAACTGGCTGATGGACATTAAGGAGGGCACATGAAGTAATGAGCACTGGGTATTATATAAGACTGATGAATCACAGACCAATACCTCTGAAACCAACAATATGTTAATTAACTGAACTTAAATTTTTAAAAAAGATTTTTAAAAATCTGAATAAATGGGCTTGAAAGAAACCAGAACTCTTCCTGACAGCCCAGCTGAAATGCTCAGGGCAGAGGCTGTGGAACAGAAGGATGCTGGAGGGCTCTTTCTGATTTCCATTTCCTGTACGGGCAGCGGGACCTGAAGAGTTCCGGCAACTCACTGACCTGATGCTGGGTCTTGCCCTCCATGTGTCCCAGCTTTGTGTTCATTTTATCCTGCACGGACCCCAGCTCTGCTCTGATCTCCTCCACAGCTGCCTCCAGCTGGTTCTCCAGCTTGTTGATTAGGGGTTCACATCGACAACCATTGATCGGTGCCTGACAGGGGAACAGCAAAGAAATCAATCCGCTCATTTGTTCCTTCCACAAATTGGTTTTAAGTCCCCATCCAGCGCCAGTCAGTATGCCAGGGGGATACGGATGATGGAGGGGGCCGACGGATTCCTGGCATAACTCTGGGATGTCCAGTGGGCCAAGCCTTGAGCCCAACAGGCATTAGGAAGTTTCAGAGAGTACCAATCCTTGCTGCTTTTATCTACTCTGGGGCCTCAAAATGATCCAGTCCCCTAAGGATGGTGTAGAAAGCCGTGTGACTGCCCCTGTGTGCCTGGGCCTCAGCGAGGGGGCGCACCTGCAGTTTAGGTCAGGAGGGCCACCTGGTTTATCTTCAGAGCTCATGCCTTAAGTCAACACTGAAAATGGGTATTAGTCCCCAGCAATAGTAATAAACGCACAGCCTTGCTTAAGGCCGAGGGTCCCAGGTCTGGACGGGGCTCATCGTGTACCTGCATCACTTTCCCGTCCTTGCCCCGGTACAGCGTGTAGAGCTGGTAGGCTCTGAACTCATGGGGAGGGGGAGGGGGGGAGCATCGGTGCCGGGGCCTCTTTCTAGGATGATTATGGGCATGCGCACTCTTCTGGTGTCCAGGCTGCTGGTCTGCTGGTGGGGTGGGATCAGAAAACGCGGACACCTGTGGGAGAGGAAGAGACAGTACCCCTGAGCACTGGGACATCTGCAGGACTGATGCCCAGTGCACCACGCCCACCTCACCCACCTCTGACTAAAGAACCTGACTTGGTTGGTCTCATGGCATTCCTCTCTAAGCACCCCATGTCAAAAGAAATCGACCAGCCCACTAACCTTGTGTTTGAAATTGGCCAGATTTCATTTTTGTGCTCTGGCTCCCAACCAGCAAGCCAAGCAAAGCGGCGTTTTTAGCTACTGGGCATGACGCTACCCCGGGGCCCTCTGTCAACCCATCTCCCAGCCCTCCCCTGGCTGTTTTCATGGGCCTCCTGACCTTGGGCCTTGACTTTCTCTGCCGATTGTCCTTTGCTCTGGGCTCTGGGGAGGCAGACAGAAAATCTTCTCTGGCCTCTTCTTTTCTGGGTACAGCATGTTCGCTGCTGGGGGTGTCTCCTGCTGAGACACTTCCCTATAGAGGAAAGAAAAAAAGCCCAGAAACCAGTTCTAATTGCCCCCCTCTGCCTTTTTCTGTAATGGTGTAAAATTCTGGTTGCAAGACGGCATCCACTAAGGGACCCAGGGGACTCTGAGCCGATGACAAATAGGGAACACTGCCTGCTGGCCGACACTGACCGTGTTCCATTTTCCCAGTCACTCGAGTATTTGACTTTGCCTTTATTAGGGGCCAAACCAAACAGTCTTGGGTCTAATTCTATATTCTAGAGCTTCAGGAACCTACCACAAACACCTCAGCATTAGAGATTTTTTATTTTTTTTTTTTTTGCATTTCAACAACCACAGCAACAAAAATACCATTCATTCTCTGAACTTGGACCTCACAATTCATAATGGAGTATGAGAAACCTCTAAAACATCAACAATAAAAAAAATCACATTTCCACTCCTTATAGAACTCTTACCAATTAATATATACAATACACCTACAGGAACTTAATCAGACTTACACCGCCTTAAACCTGGAAATGGATAAGATTTTAAAATAGAATAATGAGGACTTAGTATAAAATTTTATGGGCCAAAAGTTGTCTTTATATCCTAGCCTTTCTCGTTCTGGGAGATTGGCAAGGCACGGTGCATTCCACGGCTATGGTGCCTAGTCGCGCCGGCTGTCCCTGTATGAGGGCACCTGGCAGAGGGACCTGAAATCCAGCTCGGGCACTCTTTACCGTATGTGCCCCGAGCGGGGCTGGGGTGCCCAGGGGGTGTCTTCTTCTCAAGTCTCACAGAGGAATCACATGGGCGACCATAGCCTCAGTCCACTCCCTAAGCAGAAAGGAAGGAAGCAACCTAGGCCAGCGGGTGTCAAACTTAAGTCTGCATCAGAGTCACCCGCAGGGCTTGTTCCAACCCAGCTTGCCAGGCCCCTCCCAGAGCATCTGATCCAGGGCTTCTGCACTTTTAACAAGGTCCCAGACGATACAGTGGACACCACGCTTTGCCAGCCACTGCCCTGTACGATTAAGGGCACAGTGTCCAAGGCGGAGCTGTCCACATGGTGGTGACAGGGCCACAGATACAGGGGGCTGGAAAAGACCGGCAGGTGACACACGATCTGAACCCTTGGAGGAGTGGAGGACAGGGAGCCGAAGAGAAAGCACGGACAGCAGTTTGAAGAAGCAGTGGAAAGGAGAGACAGAGGGCGTGGCCGCTGCCCCACAAGCCTAGAAGCCGCGTGAGTCTCCCACCCTCTGGGAGGGGGTGAAGTTGGGGAGGCGCAGGAGGGCTACCCCCCACCTTGCTTTGTGCCACCTCATCTCTTGGCACAGACTGAGCTCTCCTCTCTTCCTTGAGCCTCTCTCTCTTTTTCCTCAGGCTTCGCCCACGACTGAAGCGCAAGACCTGAAGGAGGCAAGAGGCATCGTTACAAACCCCCGGTGCGCAACGTCGGCATGATGGACTCGTCCTTGGACCCGGTGCTCTGATCTAATGCAGCTTCCAGCCTGGTGGGAGACCCGGCGTTCACGTCCACAAGCACTTCCAGACTGTCTGCTAGGCTCCCAAGGTCCCGTGCCAGGCTCTCTAAGGACCCAGAGAGGAGGAGCCCCTTATCCCTGATTTCCAGGAGCTTCAGGTCTAGGACAAGAACAACGGCCACCATATAGGCATATGCAGGCTGTGCACGCTGAACTCCAGGGACCACAGCTCAGAGAGACTAGGACAGGCATGGCATCCCCCAGAGTGGTAGAACATGGCAGCCCCGGGCCAGGCACAGGCTCACTATCTTGGTACACGGGACCTGAACTAGCCCATCAGATTTTCTCTTGATCTAACTGTATTCAAGGCACTGGGAGTTTGAGTCAAACACTGAGGTGCATCTGTGAACCACGGTACCAACCACGGGACAGGAATCTCTCAGAAGGAAGCATTTGGTCTGCCCCTTTGAGTGCGGGAAGGTGGAATGGACACAGACTGATAGCGGTCTGATAGCCTGATTTTGGAACCCAGCAGCAGCTGGCTGTAAAATCTTTGGGCAAGTTCTTTGCCCTCTCTGCATTCCCCAGTGTAAATATGGGGAGTTAGTAGGATTAACCAAGACAAGCAGCCGGCTGGCACACGCTGGACCATCAGTCACTGTTAGGTGCCTTCTTCCTGCCCCAGTCCCTAGAGTACCTTGATTGACAGAAGAAGTTTAACAAGGGTACAGATCTTTGAGCTGGCAGACACCTCAGTCTCTGGCTCAGCTCCATACCCTTCCCCCAGCCCCTTGCTCCCAGTTCAAGAGGCACCCACCCCACTTTGACTAAGGGGTCTAGGAAGTGCAAACACTTTCAAGGTCTCAAAATTTTTCTGCAAAGAAACAGTTGGTCTTCTTATGTAAATAGTTCAGCATAGTTTTCAGCTCAATGTTCAACTTCGTGTTCATTAAATTCAAGTGACACTATTATGGGACAAAAAGAATCTCTACGGGCAGCAGGAGACACCTAAATGGAGAATTCTGGACAAATATCTGCCTGTGGCTGAACCAGATTTTTAAATTGTATTTTCATCCCCGAAGCCAACAGCTCTGAAAGTGACCTGGAACCCTGGGTCCACAAGGTTAAAATTACCTTCATGATATTACCACAATGTCGGCCGCCTTCTCTCTCACACTGAGTGTACAGCGGTGTTTACCAGAAGCTGCACACGATACGCCAATGGATCACATGTGCAAGTAAAGGAGGGCCCTCCCATCTTTTTAGGAAAACAGTATGGAGATTTGCAGAAATCAAAAATACTGCTATACTGCTACTTACTCTTCTCACACAACTTGTTTTGATAAAGTTATTTTTCAGAAAATCAACTTCCTTTTGTGGTAACAGAGTTAAAAATGTTTATTATTTAAAAACACTTCGCAAGTTGAATTTCAATTACGGTAACTATTAACAGATATAAGCACAGCTCTTTATGGGCCTCTAGAACATTATGTGTCCCTAGACCAAAAGGTCTGAGAGCCACTGTCCTAAGCCCTTTCTTCAGCTAAATTCAGACTTACTAGGAAGTCTAGTCTGATGCGAAGTGACTAGCGCCCATCGCTCATTCAGCTTATGGTCTGCCGGAACAGAATACAGCCCAGCATCCACCCAAAATTCACTTTCAGAAGCATTTGTGAACAGTATCAATCTAAACTGAGAAGGGATACTCACAGGTCACCCAAATCACCAGAATAATTCCCTCCATAGACCGTGTTATTAGTCAGTGAAAATAACTTTGCATGGCTTACAGCCTTTCTCAGCGAGCCATATCGTCTACCAAATGGAATGTCATCAATCTTTTCCAGTTCACAGAAATCAGGGTATATGGATCTTTACAAAGTAACCTCGAAGGATTGCCATTGAAATCCATGGTCAACTAAGGTGCCAAGGCAAGGAATTTCCTGTTTCACACAGAGGAAGGTTAGTTCTATCACCTCAGAACAGAAGAACAGCCTGTATATAATTTTATGCATATTCGAAAGTTCCTTCTTCGTGTCGAGAATAGAGTTTAGCATATATAATCACGCAAAAAACTTCCATAAAATGTCATCCTGTTTGCTATTCAAGTGGGTGTGTAAAAACTGAAGATTTTCTTGTTTGCTTTTAATGGAAACACTAAAGGAGAATTACATAGGGAAAAGGTCCATGGTAAAGTTTTTTCTCTGTGAACTCAGATCCCTGAGATCTGGAAGACAAAAGGTAGGTAGAGTTAGAGGCCTGTAAGTCTGTGTGCCTTGGGGATACTCCATGCCACGAAGGTTGATGATCATCATACAGCTAAGAACAGAGGTGGCTGTCCGAACTGCCAAATGCTGAAATGCCATGTAACAGAGATGGATTCTGACCTTTATGATAGCATCCCTTACTTTCTGATCTGTAAGAGACCAATATTTTTCTATCAGGATTCATGGATGTGATTCCGTTGATGATTCATTTGCAATAGTTGGAAAGAGGTGGAAACTTTTTCCAAAGCACCACTTGACTTGTTCTTGTCAGGGGCTCCAGAGACTTCCACACACCACTGGGGACCCACTCCATGGGCGACAGGCTGACCAGTTTTCAAAAGGCAAAAATCTTCACCTCTTCCAGATACTGCTAATTATATCAGGTAGGTTTTAAAAACGTAAATGAGGGGTGCCTGGGTGGCTCAGCCGTTAAACATCTGCCTTGGGCTCAGGTCATGATCCCATGGTCCTGGGATCCTGACCAGAATCAGGCTCCCTGCCCGGCGGGAAGCCAGCTTATCCCTTCCCCACTTCCCCTGCTTGGGTTCCCTCTCTTGCTGTCTCTCTGTCAAATAAATAAATAAAGATCTTAAAATTTAAAAAAAAAAATGAAATAAAGGCCACACAGACCTCTGGGCTGATGGGAGTTGGGTACAGCAGGGTCCTATCTAGAATCTTCCTCTGGCTCTCTGAGACTTTACCTGCTTACAGCATCAGGCATATTAAGATTGAAAATGAATCTATTTTTGCTGTAATGTAACAGAGTACCTCTAATCAGGAAGTAAACCATTTCCTTAATATTGGACATTTAGATCCAAATTATTATAACAAAATATTGGACAGCAACAAAAAAGCAAACTGGTTTCCATCATGATGAGTAATTATGTGAACTGCAGAACATTTTCCTATTATAATTAAGATAAAGGGCAGGATACAAAAGGGTATGTATATTGTAGGCACAATTATGAAAATTAGGTGTCTGAAAGGTAATATGAAGAAACAAAAAACCGTTATTTCAGGATGCTAAAATGAGGAACAGCTTATACATTATTAAGTGTTAGATAGTTTCAATCTCAACTCAAATGATACTAATTTTAAGTTAAATGAGGCCCCAAATACCATTACATTCAATAAAAGGAAAGAACACCATTATATTTGACTGCCTCCAGTGGACATTAACTGCTTTGTTTGCCTACAATGGATCCCTTTCTCCCACCTTTCTCTGGGAAAGGCCCCTTCCGACCACACAGTCAAATGGATACAGCTGTCTTCCTAACGTGCCTGTCCTACTTGTTCAGGGTGTTTGCCCCAAGCTCGTCAATCTCGATCCTCTTCTGCATCATTTAAACCAGAACCTTTTCCCCAAGCACTTGGAGAGTTACAGTCCACAAAGCCAGTAAGGACCATGATCCAGCCACAGAGAAGAAAGGATGCCCATGTATGAAGACGAGCCGCTGAAACTTATGTCTCTGGTTCTAGTTATCCTGGGGGCCCACGCGGATTCCTACATTTTCCACTGCCTGATTGTGAACCCATCAATTTCCTACTTAAGGTAGTATGAATTGGCTCTAATAGATGGTCACCAGAGAATCCCAACAACTTTGCAGCCCCACATCAGCCATATAATGGAAAATCCAATAAATCCTACCTGGGGAGCTTTAGTGAGGAGAAGAGCAACTTCCGGATTATTGTGGTAGCGAGCAGTCTCCAGTGGAGTCTGGCCTGCCTAAGGAAAGGCACAGTGGAGGACAAGTGAGTAAAAGACACCAGTCCTGCCCACACCTAGCCCAGCGGGGACACTCAGCCACACTGCAAGCTCAACAAGATACAATCACACGTAAGACCTGGCCCTGCTCTTGAGGCCCACCGCTGTCAGCGGGGGAGCCACGTCACACCCAAGGGCACAGTGACTAGCAGCACACAGCAGCAGCGGGTCAGTACGGACCCTTGAGGAAGCAAAGCTCTGGAATGCCTGCCCACCAAGGAATCCTTCCTAGAAGAGAGAGGAGGGAATGTGAAAGACAAGGTCACAGTGGAAGCTTTCAGCTGAAGAAACACAAAGGACCATCACATGCAGCAGAGCAATGAGTTTTCCCTGGAGGACACTTGGAAGGACAGATGAGGCCCCAGCCAGTCTTAGGACCTGGATTATAAAGAACAATTAGGAAGCTATGGCCATACGGCAGGCTCTAGGGAGATCAAGCCAAAAGGTAGGAGTTGATAACTGAGGGATTCAAAAGAAGGGAAAGACCTCAGGGGACAGGTATGGTAACGCACCACCCAATCAGGTGGGAGAGCTGTGAGGAGGAGGAAAGTGCGGACTGGCTACAGGAGAATTTTGTCAGCTCCAACACTCCCCACCTCTCCACACAACTGTCTGGCCCCCAGCCCCTCTGAGTCTGTGCTGCTTCAGGAGGGCAGAGACCCCAGCTCAGCCTCAAGGAATAAAGGGTGCCTGAGCCAGCGCCTGCCACAGGGCCCAGGAAAGAGACGAAAGGGGGGAGGTGGGATACTGAGAGAGAGAGAGAAGGGGATTTTGGAGAAGAGAATTTTGAGGATGATTAATCTGATGGTCATGTGGCCACTTTTCTGAGAAGCCAATCCATGTATAGGTCAGGAACTCCCTTCCCATAACATCCACTTGTCAGTTTACTCCGATACCCATGACCTTCCCTTTCCTGGCAGGATGTGCTCACTTGAGCTAGGAGTCTAAAGATAAATGCTCGGGGCTCAACAGTTCATGAGCAAGGCTTCCCAAGTCCACTTCTGGGGTCCTCAGCTTTAGCAGAAACCCAGCTCTTACAGAGTAAGGCTGGGGAGCTTTGTGCCTTTTGCAGAATAAGACTGGGTGAGGCTAGGTGCCCTGCGGGAGGTGAGGTAGTAACAACACCCTCCATTCTGGAAAGGGGTGGAAATGATTTTCAGAAACATCGTTGCGACTTCACTTACATTATTAACAATCGTCCCATCTGCTCCAGCTTCCAGTAAGATTTTAACCACCTTCTTGTGATTTAGGGCAGCAGCAACATGAAGTGCTGTGTCTCCAGCCTGAAATTAATAAGAAAGGCTGCTAAACTCCATCTGATAATGGTTTCCAGCCCTCCGGTTTTTCATCCCATGGCCTGGTGGTAGCTTTTCAAATTAGGATTGGCCTTTGATAGGGGACCCTTAGTTCAAGGGTTATGTGGCTCTCTTTCGAGAGGTCTCTTTAAAATGACCTACATACAAAGATCACATTCCTCTCCGACGGAGGATACTAGAAATCACAGAATTGAGTACAGAGGGCAAAGTAATGCTGGGCTGGGGTTGTTGAGAACGGTGAGACCTGAAGCCTTCACCAAGATAGGATAACGGGCACCCAGCCAGGGGCCAGCAGGCTAGCCATCACAGGGCTCTGAACCATGTCCATCTGCCCAGGCAGAGGACCCCTTGGTCTCTGACTACTAGAATGAGCAGAAGCTGGGAGAAAGTGGCTACTTCTACAAGCGCTGGGTCGGGGGGACGGGGGTGGAACCCCAGCCCTGCAGCACCTGTGGGAATGTAAAGAGCCCACTGGGAATCCCTTTGCAGGCTCAGGGGGTTCTTCATTTGGGTGGACTCACTGAAGAAAAATCAGTGTTCACTTAAGACCAGCAGTTTTTAACCTCTTACCAAGTAGCCTATAATAAAGTTCATATTTTCTTCATACAAAAGATGGTCAGTCAACTACGGAAGGAGGCTATGGACAACGGCAGCTTCATGGGCCAGTCCCCAAGCAAAGGATATAAACAAATGAGGCAAATACAGATGTGAAGTAATCTGTTCTCTCCCACTAGGCGAGCAGGTCACGTTCCAGATGATGGGTTTTCTTGGGCAGCATGGAAATCCACCTGCCCCGTGGCCCTCGGCCCCCAGGAGTAGCCAGGGCAGTTGTGGTTCACTGCTGAGTCACTTAGTTGTGGGTGCTGGGGGATGCTCTCCAGCAGGGGTTTCCAAGCTTGGCTGCAAACTGGAGTCACCTCTGGAGCTTTGAGAACTATTGCCATCCTGGTCACACCCCCAGACTCTGATTGAATTGTTTTGAAGTGTGCATTGGGTATGGGGATTTCTCAAAGCTCTCAGGGGACTGAAACATCCTGCCAAGGTTGAAAAACACGAGTTCATGGGGGCTGGCTAAGTGTCACCTGTCTGATGAGCTAGAAGCCGCTGGAAGCCTGGAGAATGACAGGATTAGGTATACAGCTGGGCCAGTGGTTCTCAATCCTGTCTGCACACTCAGGTCAAGGGCTCTCTAAAAATCCTATTACCTGGATTCTGGTCTTTTAAACTGCTGTAAGATTCAGCAGTGGTATTTATAATTTCCCTGTTGATTCTTAATATACAGTGGGAGTCAGAAACCACTGTTAGTGGGACACAGTTAATCTGAATAATGATCTGTTTTTAAAATTTCTGATATACGTACCCATACTCAGAAAGGACAATGTTATCACTTAGGTATCAGTAAATATCAAGACATTTAACAAATTGAAGCTACTGTAAGTCACACACATTGCCATAGGACACTGTAATAATCACAGTTTTATGGCAAAACCCCAGGATATGGCACAGATGCTGATCACATACCCAATTTTTCAGAGACCAGAGACTCCATCAGCTCCAAGTGGCAGTGCAAGGAGCAGAACTCAAGGAGTCAGGAGACACCCAATTCCCTTGCTTATTAAGCCACATTCCTCTTTGTGGGTTTTCTTTGTAAAAGCGTTACAAGCAAAACCTGCCCCAGGATCTTCAGAAAGTGTTTGATATGCAAATATGGAGATATGCACTGGAATGGGAAGAGCAGGCTCCCTCCAGGAAGCCAGATAAACCAGGAGCGCAGAACTCCGTGCACTACAGAACTCCGAGCAATAGTCTCGCCTCATCCCAGACTAGAGGCTCCCAGCAGCCTCTGACCCCACTTGTGCTAACACACCTGCCAGCCTCGTGGGAAGGGGGCCCGGTAGCCGTGGGGAGGACACATGCACTGACCTGGTTCTTTTCATGGACAGAACAGAAAGCACTGAGGAGGAGCTTAATGATGGACAAGTGATTATAGCGTGCAGCAACGTGCAAACAGGTGTCGCCTGCCTGCGGACAGAAATCAAACTCTGAGCACAATCTGAGCAGTTACTGGTGGAAGGAAAAAAAATAAGAAAAGAAAAAATTGATTAAAAAACTGGCAGACTAGCATATGTTCAAGGTTATCAGCCTGAACAGGAAGCCTTCACTTCCCCGTGGACCCTTCACCGCGAGACCCACAGCTTTGGCTGCGGTCTGCGGCTCTGCGGGCGTTCTGCTGTGCAGACTCTGGGCTGTCAGGTTTCAGATGCTGGATGCCCGCTCCCCACGAGGCCTTCACCAGAGCCAAGGCAGACTCTGCTTACCCAGCGCTTGACAGGAACCCATTCACCACAGCCTCTCCTACAGCCCCATGCTCTGGAGCACACGGAATTAAGACCAACAGCACTGCTTTGGAAACGAGCCCTCCTCCATCATGGATTCCTCATGGCTCAAAAGACAGTGTGGCAGGGAGAGCACTCAGATTTTAAGATCACGCGTGTTGTAAAAAAAAGTTCGAGCTGCGTCTCATTTGAGTAGGACCCCGATAGCTCATATGGGGCAGAGCAGTCTGGGGGAGCAGAGGAAGAGGCAATCACTGGCGTAAAACAGGGCATTCAGAGAAAAACCTCACGATCAATATCTTCCTTAGTGGTCACCGGCTAAACCGCTCACAGAGAAACAAAACTGGAGACAAAGTCAGGACATTCTGCGGTGTTTTCTTGATATTTTCATTCAAACTTTGTCTAGAGACAACGGCCACTCAGCATAACCTTCTCCCCTGGATTAAGAAGCAGCCAAGTTCAGAGCCTAGGTCCAGGGCATTCTAAGACCCACTCTAGAGAAGTCTGACTTCAAAGACCATTTTTTGAGAGGAACCCCAGTCAGAGTCTCTAGTCGAGGAATGAGGCCGGGGACTCGTAAAGGAAAGATGGCTGCTTGTGGAGGGAGGGGGCATGCCCACGTGACCTCAACAGTCAGGAATCCTCTAAGAACTAGACCCATCAGCTCTTCCCAAGGGCACGTCCCTAACTGATTTGTAGACACAGGCCCTGGAGCATCAGACGACCTTCTTCCCTGGATGGTACCGTCTGACATTCGCTAACTGTACAACACTATGTGGGCAGAGATTTTCTGGACTCATTTGCAAGCGCATGCTAGGAGAAACATTGAAACAAACCCAGGCTGAGGAGCAGAGGGGAAAAGGATGGGAGAAAAGCAGTATTTGAGTCTTGATTCCTCTTCTCCTGCCCCTGGCCGACCACTCAGGACGTAGCCAAAAAAACGAACACTTTTTAGACAGTCCCCAAACACGTTTCACATTTTCATTTTCTAGGTGTTAATACTGAAGTATGCTTTTAGGGTTACTTTCCAAGGGGACACAAGAGAGCGCGAGAGAAGCCGGATTTGTTCACCCACATTATTTTTGAGGTCGGCACGGGACCCGCCCAGCAGGAGGACGCGTGTGCTCTGGGAGTGGCTGTTCTGGCAGGCCAGGTGCAGAGCGGTGTTTCCCGCCTTGGAGAGAGGCAAGAGAAGGGAGGACACGTTAGCAACTCGCTTCTTGGCAGACCTGCACCGGGCAGGCTTTGCAGAAGGTTGACGGATACTTGCAAGAAAAAAAAAAAAAAGGGTCAATGCTCACATTCTCTGCTTCCTGATTGGTGACCCCGGCAGAGGGGTTTCAGCCGCAAGAATAGTTAATATGGAATCCGGAAAGCCACAAGAGTCCCATGGGTCATAAAACCTTGGCTCTGCAACTTACTAGTTGAAAGTCACTGGTCAAGGCTCTTCATATGCTGTCCTGAATTCCTTACCTGTAAAATGGAGTGTGACCCCTACATCCTGAGGCCGTGAGGGTTAATCGGGAGTACCCAGGAGAGTGTTTACTTAATGGCAAAATGCTGTGCCCGCATGCTGCATTGCACTCATTTTGGAGAGGACCACAGCCTTCCCACCCAACACGGACAACAGCTGTGGCTACCATACTCCACCAATGGAGTAAAAGCAACAGAGGCCATGTCCTGTGGGGGTAGCTAATGTAGATTAACTTGTAGGCCTTCTGCAAACTGTCCATTCTTGCATTTTCCTTAAATGTCAAAATTAAAACTATGGTCAAGGTACCCACACAGCAGGCAACACAATTACGTCCACCGCTTATCATACAGATGGAGACCCTCGTGCTTTTTGGGCTCCACCAGCAATATGCCATTTCACAGGGACGTCAAGCGTCAGAATAATGTCTAGAGCAATCTTTCAGAAGGAACTCATGACACAAACAGAATTTTAAAACCGTGCAAACAGTGCCTGCAAGGCTGCTGATAAAAGTGACAAGAAATGCAGACAGCGTTAAGAAGAGATTTGGTGTTCGTCTGAGAGAGCCTGGGAGCATGCGGGGGGTGGAGTCTACAAGCTCAGTGACTGTTGGGCTGAGCTACAAAGTGGGGTCAGGACTGCGACTGTGTGGGCTCAGAGCTGTTCACTGCCTGCTTACAGCCCTTCCTCGCCCTGGAGCTGCGTCCACTGCACTGTCTGCCCAGACTCCGACAACGTTCTATTCCTCAGCTTCTTGAAAATAATGAGTTTTATTTTTAAAAGCAAAACGAAACACAACACACAGAGAAAAACCGTATGTTGCTGGTTCACTTACCTCCCCTCTCATACCCCTTGCTCCAAGTAGCCTGGGTAGAATCTTTCTGGCTCACTGCTCCCTCCAAGGAGCTGGAAGGTTACAAGCCTGAGGGCTTAGTGACCTCCCTCGTTATCAACCTTCTACTGCATCAGAGTCACCTGGGGAAGCTGTTAAGACTACGGTGCTCAGCAGCGACCCTTCTAGGGATTCTGATTTACTTGGCCTGGGGTGGAGTCTGGGCAGGTCAGGTGTCAGCACTGCAAGTCCTCAACTCTAAAAACCTCTGGACCCAGGGAAAAGTGGGACAGCCTGTCACTCTAGGCCCGGTTACCGGGTGAGTTTGCTCCCTCCCCCCATGGTTTTTGTTTAAAGTTTTCCAGGAGATTTTAAAGCACAGACACGTAGGGAGCCACTGCTAGCTTCGCTCTCAGAAACAAAGGATCAGCCCACATTTTAAACACTCCATTCCTGGTGCAAGGGCTCGGCGCCTGGCTTGGTGTAATTCTTACAGCACTGGCAGTAGGTTGTCTCAAAGGTGTTGGCTTTGTGGCAGTTACTTAATGTGTTGAAATAAAAGGAATCTGATGGTTCTAGAACCATACACCAAGCTTTGCTAATAAGAAAATATCAATTACGCTGAAAAACATTTGGATTGAGAAAATTAAAAACCGCGGGCATAGAACACACAAATGATGGTATATTCAGACACTGGACTATTACTGGGGGATAAATGGAATGAACTAGTCTCACATGTAACATGGAGGACACTCAAAAACGTGAGGGGAAGACGTCAGGCATGAAATGCTACATACTCTACGATTGCTTTACATGATGTTCTGGGAAAGGCAAAGCAGGTCGGCGGTTGCCAGGAGCTGGGAGTGGTGGGTGGGTGGGAGATTGTCACCCAGGGACATAAAGGAAGTCTTTGGGGCGATGGAAACATTCTACATCTTGATTGCGGAGGTGGTTACACAACTGTGTACATTCGTCAAAACTCATACAATATACCTAAGAGGCTGAACTTTATTGTGTATGGATTGTACTTCGGGAGCTGACATTTAGAAAATGTGACCTAAGTGGGAATATATATGCAGCAGGCGTTTTTCCGTCCCGAGTAATGAGTACTTATTCCCCAGACTGGGGCTGATACACTTCCTGAGTAAGTTCTTACACAACAGAATGTTCTTACACAACAGAGGATCATTCAACCTTAAAAAAAGAAAGAAATTCTATCATTTGGGACATGTATGAACCCAGAGCACATTATGCAAAATGAAATAAGCCAGACAGAGAAGCAAATACGGTAAGTATCACTTACATGTAGAGGGTGGGGGAAAACAGGGAAACGCTGGGAGAAGGGTATAAAGTTTCAGTTTTAAGACGGGTATCCTCTAACATACAGCATGGTGACTGTGGTTGATAAACTGTATATGAAGAATAGAACTGAAACATTTACATCAAAAACTTTTTAGAACTATAAACATGAGATGATGGGCATGTTCATTAACCTGATGGGGGTAATAATCCTTGTACAACATACACATATCTCAAGTCATCACTTTGTACGTTTTCAATACCTTACAATTTTATTTGTCAGTCATTTATACCTCAGTAAAGCAGAGGAAAGGGCCTTTTTAGAGGCTTTGCTGGAGGACGTGGCTGGTGCAGAACGTGGAAGTCCTGTTCTGGGACAGCACCTACCTTTGCTTGTGACAGTCTCTGCTGTTCTATCTAGAGAGATCTTGTGGTTTTCTGCAATACCTTTGGGGCCCCATACAGGACAGGAGGCAGTGTGGTGGCTCAGAGGGACTCAGGCTAGTTTATGGACCAGACTGTGTCATGAACAAGTCATGTGGCTTCGTTGACACTACTGGCTCCCAGCTCAGGCTTCCCTATCCATTAACTGGGAACCACTGGCTTCTCAGAGTTCCAGGATCTACGATACAACATGGGTCTGCCTACAACTCCTGTTCCAGACAATATACCACTTTGAAGAAATGAAGCAGCCACCAGTCTCCCAGGCAGTGGCTCAGGCATGATCGGAGATCTTACGATGCATGGGCTGCTTCTTTTCCTCATGCTTTTGTCCCATGAGGAAACTATGAGAAACATTAAACCAGTAGACGACAGTGCAAAGGTGTGTGGAGTGTCACGGGAGCTCTGCAGGAAATAGGAGGCTACTGCCCTGGGAGCCCAGGTTGCAGGTTTATAGGTGGCCATGAGGAGCAGGCTTTCCCCAAAGGAGCGGGGTGGGGGCGGGGACACGGTGAGCCCACTCTGATAGCGCACGAGGCACATACTGGGAAAGGCTCAGGGAAGAGGCTGCCCACAGGCTGAGACCCCTCCAGGGATGCCGGAGACAGCGTCAGGCGGGGGAGCTTTACTGGAAGTTTCCTGAGCGGAGGAGGAGCAGGATGAAGAAGGGACTAAGCAAAGTGGCCAGTCTGCTGTGAGGTTCTGCAGAGATGCCTTCATTACTAATGAGCACAGAAGGAGGGGGATGAGACATGATAAGCAACCGGAGGGAGACAGGAAGATGCAGAAGAGGTGCTGCTGGCCCCTCCCTGTCTCCAGGAGGAGGGGCTGCTTGCCCAACCTGGATAAACCAACGGGAAAGCGGCGAGAGCCTGGAGAATTCAGAGGAAGACTCTTGCTCACCATGGAGATTAGGTTTCATTTCCCCTGCTCCCCCCAGCTCCTGCTTCGCTGAAGAGGCTCATGCGGGGACGACAGCCCTCGCTGTCCTCACCTGTGAACGGAGCCTTCTAGCACCTGCGGGGCCTCACCTTGTTCTTGGCAAGCACGTTGGCTCCTGCTTTAACGAGCAGTTTGGCTGACTGGCTAAAACCGTGCCAGGATGCTTCGTGTAGGGCTGTATTCCCGTCCTGAGGAACACAGACGGAGACAGAGAGCACATTACCCGAGACCTAATTCATCTCATTAGAATCGATATATCATAGTGTATTTCTGGGGCACACCACAGCTCCTTTCTCAAATGGGGCTTCTCATCGGAATCACAGAGCCCAGAAAATGATTTCACTGGCTAGTTTCTCCACTCTCCCAGAAATGGTACATAACAAGAAACATTTTATATTTTTTATAAAAAAAAAAAATTGGGGGGAGGGGCAGCGGGAGAGGGGGTGAGAGAATTTTAAGCAAGCTCCACCCACAGCACGGAGCCCAACTCGGGGCTCGATCCCATGACCCTGAGATCATGACCTGAGCTGAAATCATGTCGGATGCCGCCCAGGCGCCCCAGCAAGTACCATTTTGGATGATGTATAGGGCTTCAATCTCTCCGGGAACCCCGGTTGAGAAAGGCTCATCCATAGGACACATTTAGCAGGAACATGACGTTCATTCCTTCCCACCTCCATTACCCCTTGCTCCTGGCCCCAGAGAGGACTCTGCAAAGATCAGGCAAGTGAGGAGTCCAGGTCATAAGCTGTCGGGCCCAGGAACTGGATAGGCAGATTCTTCTCTTTTTCTTCCCCCAAATTTAATCTCACCCAGTTTAATCCAAAGTCTCAGGGACCGAAACAAATAAGCAGACCCTGAGACAATGGTGACTTGTAAAGAAGATAAACAAGTGTTCTCCATTCATGGCTTCTTAAATATAAGTCAACCAATTAACACACACAGTTGGTATTTGCTTAACTTCCTCTAACAGAAATATTAAGTGCAGTGAAGTGAGTGGGGTAGGGCTGAGAGGGCTGGGGTTACAGGGAGGGAGAGGCATGCAGAGGAGGGGTGGAGCTGGGCTGGGGGCAGGGGGGTGCACTGTCCGGTCACATCCGGCTGCTGGCTTTGGCTTCTCTTCGTCCACACCACGAGACTGGCTGAATGGCACCGATACCCTCAAGGAGAAGGCTAGGTAGGGTCTCAAAGGCCTGGGAGCGGGGTGGTGCTAGGGATGGTGGTGGCCATGTGTAGGCTGGCCCGGGGGACTGACTGAACACAGCAGGAAGCAGAAGGAAAAGTGACCGGATGGGGACACGGGTGAGGGGGTTTCTGGTGTGCTGATAATTATCTGGTCGCTCACAAAGGGATGCTCAGTTAGTGAAAACGCATTGAACTGCACACTTATAATTTGCATATTTCTCTGTAGGACACTTTGTTAAAAAGTTGTCTAAAAAGTAAACACGGGCTGAACTGTACTTAATGACAAAGTTCCCTGTTTTAAGATTAATGATTTAAAAGCAATGACTAGTATAAAATATATCATTGGGATTTCTTAAAGAATTGATTTTGTTCATTTTTTTCCTTCCAATATATTTCAAATTAATTCTAATATATATTTTTAAAGGAGGATGAGCAAGTTAATTTGAGTCCAGGGCACATGCCTTCCCCCAGCCAGGCCTCCACAGTTCTCATTATTTCTAGACTTTTTTTCTTTACCATTTATATATGTGGTTGCCCATTGCTGCCACAGAACAGGGGGAGGAATGAAAAAATATGATTTGTTGGGATATGAGATGCTCTTTCAAAAGAAAGTTGGGCTGATTTATCATGTTAAAGCATGAGTGAGAAGACTTAGGAAGGATAACATCTCGAACAGTCACAAGTTCCCAAAGCAGGGTCCTCAGGTGGCCCTGTCCCCCGTCACCTTGTCTTGGCGGTCCAGAGCACAGCCTTCCTGGATGAGCGCCGCGATGACGTCTGTGTTCCCCACCACTGTGGCCCGGTGCAAGGCAGTCTGATCCCCCTGCAGAGGGACGTGGAGGCAGGAACAGCAGTCAGCTCTCCCAGCCCTGCCCTGCAGCACTCCCTGCACTACTCTGACACAAGGACATCTCCTGTCCTCCATTGGAGCAGACCAGCCATCATGCCAGGCAGAGCTCTTCTGTTCGCAAACTCAGTGGGGAACTTCAAACCAACCACAGAACAGCTTCAGAGCTGACCTTCAGAATGAGGATCAGGCACTCACCTGCCGCCCCAAGGAATGGCAGTGTTCAGAGATATGACTGTCAGGTCTGTGAAAAGTGGGTCTGAGAGCTAGACTGCGTGTGCCGTGAAATTAAGCCAGCAATCTTTACTCCCTGCTGAGTCCTGTAGTTGCCTGCTCTCATTCAGAGGCATCACTCCCCAGCTGTGTCAGCTAGCAACACTAGCAACAGGATTTGATGAAGGGCGCTTATTTGTGGATCGACTTATATGGGCTGAGGGCAATGCAGCGGTTTATACCACGTCGTCTGATGACTCCAGGGGCTATAAGCTATCACTGCATACATCTGTGCAGCCTCTTCTGACATGTCATGACAGCATCCTCGCTGATTCATGCTGCCTTTTCTTTAGGATCAGATGCCAGGGATTGCTGACCTTCTCTTTCTGCATCAGGGCGGCAAAGGGAACTTGACCCTTTCCCCTAAGTGCATTTGAGAGAAAGTAAGATGGTCCAGATAAGAGAGAGTTCCCAAGTCTGTAAGAGCACATCTCATCTCTGACATATACTCAGGAAATCAAGTCGAGACAAATTAAGTCTGGCCTGGGGTCCAAACTGGAATGGGGAGGTAAGTGAACAGTGTGGAAAACTTCTGGTAGGGAGGAAGGGGTGCAGGCAAGGGGGACAGGAGATGTGAATCTTGCACAGTCTTGGGAGATACCTGGCACTTCACTGGGCCTCAGTTTCTTAACCTGCACCTGTAAAAGGAGGGTGGGTGCTCCCCCAGGTCTGTCCCTTCCCTTCTTGGGTTCTAGGATTTGGCTGGTAAGAGTGCTGCACAAAACGTTCTTGTGGAGCACCAGAGGGGCAAAGGACATGCCCCTGGGCATCCCTCATCTTCAGCCCAAGAGAGGAAAGAGAGACTACTATAAGACAAAAAATATGGAGCTTTTTTAAAGAGGGTTGCACTGATACCTATGAACTGCCTTAATGAAGTACTGATTCTGCTTACTGAACACCTTGGGATCTAGAACAAACAGCAATGTGCATTAAAGTCACTTGACCCAAACAGAAATTCTGGAGGTGGATGGTCGTAATGGTTGTACAACAGTGCGAATGTGCTTAACGCCACTGAACCGTACAGTTAAAAATGGTTAAAATGATAAATTTTATATTACATGTGTTTTATCACAATAAAAAGCACTTAATGCTATTTAAAACTCACGTTTACTTTCTTAAAATTAAAAAAAAATCTCCCTTCAAAAATCCATGAGGGGAAGTGATTTTTATTTTTCTCCCTTATAGTTTTAAATAGTTTTCTACTTTTTATACTTAACAAATACAATTTTAGCCACAGGAAAAACTGCTATTTATTGAAAGTCTACGTTGTAACAATACACTGATAATGGGACTATCCGTGTCTCGGACTCTTTTCTCACTGTTTATGTGTAGAATGTAAGGGATTTCCACAGTGATGGGAGCACATCCAGCTCCAGTATTACGATTTGTCCACTGCCCACAGCATGACTATCATGAACCCTCCCCCTCAGCATCCTAAACCATTATTCCCATTACACATTAGGTTTAGACTGGGTTTTCTTCTTGTCCACCTTCCCAGAGACCCCTTACTCAACGAGAACCCTTTCTGCGGGCCTGCAGTCACAAGAACGTGGCCCCTGGTGGGTGGGTGAAGAAGGCACATCAAGCCATTACACACTCACTTCGAACATTCTAGGAACTGTTTCCAGAGGCCAAGCACTATGTCCCAACAAGTCATCCTATGAGAAACTGCCCAAGTCTTAACTTTAAAAAATTTCTGGAAGAATTTCCAAGACTGCCATTTCCCCCATCAGAATGGTGACAGGTTTTCCCAAAATGGGCCTCAAGTGCAACTTATGACCTGAGGAGAAAGATGGTGCTCTGGTCTCGGCAAGAAGGGGAGACTGCAGCCCACCCTCTAGGGGCAAACACTGATGGGGCCTTTTAAAATTCCCCCAGACTGCGGGCACTCGAATCCGCACTCTTTGCACTGATGAGAACAACCTTGTCATAGAACAGAACTTAACCATTCAATCTGTGTTGTGCACAAAGCCCGGAACTCATGGGTCATGTCAGCCACTCTTTGGTCGGAGCCAGTGCATGAGGGGCCTCGGCTGGTTGGGGCACCGTCTAGCCTAAGCCTTGCTGCAGGTTAAGTGCTTTATCCTGTTTCACAAGCTGCCCCTCAAACACGAGTTTAAGCAGCTTTGGAGCCAGAACATCACTATTATTTATTACTTGCTCTCAGCAGGAATCTTCCATTTTTGCTTCCCTGGAGAGGTCTTTCCTTTGTGAAACTCTAGCTCAACGAAAGAAGCTAAATCTAACTTTTGGTTTAGCCTTCAAAAGTAAATTTCCAGATGGATTATCAAGACTCAAGGAAATCTAAGGACTTGGGCGAGGCTGCAGTGAGGACACTAACTGTCCTAAGCCATGGCACAGGTGTCTCTCCCAGAGACCCTTTAGGAGCACTGCCTGTCTCCAGACCACCGCTTCCCCTCCGTCTTCACTGCCTCAGAGACCTCACTCTGAGCCTGGGGCCTGGCCTCATCAGTTGGATAGAGACTGCAGAGAAGGCCAACGTCAGCCTTTCCCCACCGAAAGTGGCTGTCATTCAGCCACGCCGTTAGCTTTGCAAACACTGGATGGGACGGTTCTGGAGGACTGAGGAAGGGACTTTCTCTGGCTTACAAACAACAGCTACTCCAAAGTTACGAGGATGAGAGCTGAAGGCCACTCAGAGAGACAGGAAACCTATAAGCAAAGAGCCACCCTGGGCTATCTATCTCAGGGCTACTCTTCCCCAGAACACACAACCCAGTTGAGCGCCTTAGACTCTCAACTGAAACAGGGCCTCCTGTTTTTCTCCTATAAAATTTACTGTGGAAGTATTTCCTCTTTGAAACAGGAAACAGAAAACCACCAAGCGTGTCCTTACTACACACGTATTAGCAGACCCAGGCAGCAACTCTGACATAATCCTTATGTCTATATTATCTAAATACACCATGAAATTCTGAAACTTTGAAAAAAAAAAAAGGTGGAAAAAGTATGACACGCTTAACAGCACTCAAAAGTTATTTGTTCAGTAAATATTTATTGGCCTTCCACTACACTCCAAGTGGCATCTAATTCTCATTTTATTGATAAAAAAAATTAAAAAAGCAAAAAAACAAAGGCTCAGTGCTGTTCAGTGCCTACCCAAGGATAACCAGCTAATTCGGGATAGCATGGTTAGGCCAGAATTCAAATTGTCAAGGCTCTTTGAGCTCAAATCCAAGCTATTTCCACCCCGTGAAGTCAATGAACCTCAGTGCAGGCCTTAAAAAAGATCAGCTGCCTCTTGATGGCATCCCCTGGCTGAGTGCTTAGCACAAGGCCACGGCCACTCCAGGCGCCCAAGAAGTATCTGTGGAATGATTAACTACAAGGAAGCAGAAGGAAAAACACTGCAGCTGGAAACGCCGAGAGCCGGCCACCTTGCAGTTTGGCACTTCAGGCTGGAACATGCTGACCTGTTTGCAAAGTGTGTGAACTGCCAGCCCTCAATGTTTCTGACTTCAGTGCTGCTCACTTACGGAACTGAAAGTCTACATCTTTGTTGTGAAATACTTTTAGTTCTCTCTCCTACGTGGTGTAAGAGAACAGGCACAACGCACACAGATGCCGAAGCTAAGCTCATGGAAGAAACCTGAGTCCCACTAAGACGGAACATGTCCCTCTTCAGGATGGATCCCCCCAGGTGGCACAGATGGACATGTCACCAGGAAGCCCAGAACGGTGCAGGTGTGCAAAGCAAGTTGCTGACCTCTTTTTCTCTCTCTGATCTTCTAGGGTTCTTCCTAGCCTTTCTTCTCTGGTTTTTCTTATTTTTTTCTTCCTTCGTGGCTTTTATCTTGGCCACAGGGTCCTGGACTATTTCTGAGGCGGGGGCCGTGTGGTTGCTCATTGACCAATGAGAGATGGCATTAGAGCTCCAGTGTGAGTTGACAGGATTGGCCGGAAGCAAGAGGGAATTTTCTCCTGGAGTTGCATATTCTAAAGAACTGGTTTCCACAGGTGGAAATTCATAATAATCCCATTCCAGGCCACTGGAGGTCATTCTTCAACTAATTCTCTGTCCTTACCATGACATTAGGAATGTATCTGTAGAATATGAAGTTAGGAGTAAATTCCTCACAACATTAACATTCTCTATTTCTATCCATCATCAAGGCAGGTGACTTCTGAACTGATTTTTTCCAAAAATTAATGTCCCACCTTCTTTAAAAAAGCACCCATAGTTTTTGTCTGCAAATTCTTGCATGACTGTTAAAGCTGATCGCCAACAGGCACAGTAAATATGAAGAGAGCCATGAACAATATCCCAGCAAACTGCTTCAGAACTAGTGAAGATCAACGCTACCTTCTCCTTTCCCAACCATTTTTACACTGTTTTGTTGCTGTGTTTTTGTTTTGCTTTGTCTTGATTTAAGTTATCAGGGAGAAGCAATGTACACATTGTCTGATCAGGGCAAGGAAAAGATGCAAGAAAAGGCATTATTCCAACAAATGAAATGAAGGCGCTCCTGACTAAAGGTAGCGCTGCATTACCTTCGGCTGCCATGTCTCCCCTCCTTGGCTACCTTGTGAAAACTCCTACTTTACTTCCTACCTTGCCCGATATAAACACCCCAGCCTGACAGAAGCTTCTAGGAAGTTAGCATGGCTTTTGCTGCATGAGAACACAGTGATTCTTGGAGCACAAGACCTGAAGCAGGACTTGGTTAGGAATGGGTTAGCACCCTGGTATGGTAGCCTAGCCAGCATGGCCAGTGACGAATTTAATTATGCAAAGAGAAGATGTGATGCATCCAAACAGGTCTGCACCAGCAACCCCATGTTCTGCCTTTTCTGTGGTCAGAATCTCTTCTCTCTCCTTGTATGTTCATTCCTGTCATCTAAGGAGATGATATATAATCAGGAATGTTATGATGGTTATAGTGCAGGGGAAAAATGTATTATGACTCAAGATGGAAATCAATAGCCAAAAGCTAAATCAGCATCTTTTGAAAGTAACATTTTTGATGACCCAGTAGGTTCCAAATATAACCAGAGATTTATGAATAATACTGGACAGCCTTCTGCCTGTACATAAAACAATGACATTTAGTTATTTCTTTACAAATGCTATCTGTCCCATTTGTATGCCTGCCAAGTTTTAGAACATTACACAGACAACTAAAGAAAATTAGAAGCACTTTAGTAACCTATACCCTAGCACATCTGAGGGCCCGAAATTTGATTAACACTCTGTAACCACAGTTATTAAAGGTGAATCAGGAAGAGATTATGATAAGTGAAAATTCTGTACAATTTTGTGTTTCTCACAAAAGTTATTTCTTAGAGTCTTACCACACAAATTAGAGTTGAAATTAGAAAGAGTTTCTGAAAACAGCTTACAATCACATTATCACAGCATTTTTTCCTAATACCTCATAGGAGGACAATTTACATAATCTTATCTATATCCTCCTCTTAGAGAACTTACTTCTTCAAAAGACACAAGGCAACCCTGTGCACTACATGACATCACCCCAGCCACTGATGATTGACTCAGAAATGGATACTTTACTCTAAAAGAGTCAGTCAGAGTCTTTCTCTAGATAATCTGAAAGAAGAGACTCAGAGACTGAGTCTTAATAAAAGCATAGCACTAGGGGGAACTCTTTCAGGACGCTTGCTTTTTCTTGGGTTCAATGACATCAGTTATTTTTTCTTTTGAACAGGTCCTCTTTACACTAAGAGAAATCAAGGTGAGAAGAGGAAAATATTAAGTTTTTAGGGCCTACTTTTTTTCTAATGGTAAGCTTGGTCAGTGACATATTTCCAATAGGCCTTGCCTGCACTCACTCAGGTGTGTGTGCGTGTGTGTGTATGTGTATGGGGTATGTATGCTCCTTCATACTGACAGAGGATAAGGCAAAATGCCCTCTGAGGTTCTACACTTGGATGATACTAGATAGGACATGAACCATGAAGGGAAAACCACCCCACCCTTACAAACTCTAGCTTGCTACCTAGAATGGATCCCAGGTCTTCAAGGGGAAGTTCTTCCCACCAAGGGGACCAAGAAGTGCTAGGAGTGCATCCTCTACCCTCCTGCCTTCTCACAGGTTATACTCACATCATCCTGGACATCGAGGTCACAGCCAGCCTTCAGCAAGATCTGGACCACAGAAAGATGGCCCTTATTGGCAGCAAGATGAAGGGGGGTCCGGCCATGCTGTTAATGCAAAGCAAACACTGATTTCAGAATAGTCCATCAAAACCACTGCCCTGGGGGCATCTGGGTGGCTGTTGGTTGAACTCCTCTGACTCTTGTGTCGGCTCAGATCCTGATCTCAGGGTTGTGGGAATCGGCCCTGCGTCAGGCTCTGTGCTCAGCATGGAGTCTGCTTGTGATTCTCTTTCTCTCTGCCCCTCCCCCTGCCCACACAGATGTGCACTCTCTCTCGAAACAAATAAATAAATCTTTTTAAAAAATGACCACTGCTCCGGAGGGGATGGGGGCCTAGAGCAAGGTTTACATAGTGGCAGTCCCCACCCCCTTCAGTCTGATAGGCGATCCTTATATATTTACTGAAAACTCAAATTTTTAAAAGTTTTTTAAGAATCTTATTTATTTGTCAGACAGAAAGAGAGAGAGAGTGCATAAGCAGGGGGAGCAGCAGAGGCAAAGGGAGAAGCAAGCTCCCCACTGAGCAAGGAGCCCAATGCAGGACTCAATCCCAGGACCCTGGGATCATGACCAGAGCCCAAGGCAGACGCTTAACCGACGGAGCCACCCAGGTGTCCCTTCACCCAGAATTCAAGTTTGTCTCAGTTAACCTTTGTTACTGGCATTCTGATAAATGAATAAAATATGCTAAAAATGTGAAGATTTCCTTCAGTGAATAATTTCTACTCCCCACTCAACAAACATGTAGGAATATGAGGGGTTTCATGTTTTCTCTTATTTTCTCCCTGGTGCTAATACCCAACCGTGATGAGGTAGTCACAATGAATTGGATGGGGCAAAAGATGGGAGAGCAGTAAGTCAAGCTAATCAGCCCCAGAAAAATCCGGTTAGTAATTATTAGAAATTGAAACTATTGGCCAAACTGTTTTGAATAGATTCCCTCTTTTTAATTTAATATATTTATTTATCTATGCATTTCTTTATTGATTCTCCCTTTTTAAGACAAATTTTAAAATTACAACATATTTCAGCCATTCAAAAATATGAATAATATTTTAAATGTACATACCCACAAATCACTTAAAAGAAGAAACCATAGATGTTCCTCACGAACCCCTCCCAGATTTCATCTCCCTCCAGCTCCACAGGTAACCATTCTTAAATTTGGTACTCTCCATTCTTTTACCATTTATTTTATTTTACTACACATTTATTGCCATAAATAATAAACATGGTTTTACTTATTTTAGAACTGTACAGAAATAGTATTAAACTTTTTTATCATTTGGCAGTTTTCTTGTGCAATGTTATATATTTTAGACCTTTTTTCATATAGTCAAATGGAGTCCCGGTTCATTTATTCATTATTCATCTACTCTCTACTGATGGGCATCAAGGTTCTTTTCAGTGGTTTGCAGAACACCTTTGTGTGCACATGTCTCTGTGCCTCTGAGGAGGCTTCTTAGTCCTGTTGTTGGGTCAAAGAGATGACTGTCCTGCAACAGCCCTAACATGCAGGCTCCTGAGGTATGACACAGGGGGTGACACCCAGAATAACTCCTTCAGTGTAAATCAACTACGCAGAGAACTGACCTTGCCAAACTCCAAAGTCCTCAAATTCTTAAGGAGACATTATGTTCCCTTTGCTTTCTCCCTCACATTCACTGTGAAGAAATGTTCTCCCTCCTGCTTCAAAAATCATTTAGCCATGGCCCCCACCCATGTTGAAACACACCCTGTGCATCTCATATGGGTCTCTAAATACAGGGATAATGGTCTCTTACCACCTTCCAGCACCTCGATAAAACTTTCCAAAGAACTTTATTGATATTCTAGCAGGATAAACCCATTAATGATCTCCATAAAGTGTCAGTTTGCCGTGGGCAACAAGGCGTGGAGGAAAACAGAGATAGCAGACTATAAAGGATCTTAATTTCTACCCATGAAATGCAATCAAAGCACTAGAATGATTCTGTAAAGAAAGAGGTCAGAGCTCACTTTAAAATTAGAATTCTTAATTAAGAAAAAAGTTGCTCCCAAGAAAGTGGGCTATAAAAAGCCTTCATAAAAAGGCAGTGTCTGAGAGGAGTTGGAGTGACCTTCCCTGGCTAGCAATCGTCTCAGTGCACACTGCTTCACCTTGATTCTTTCAAGGAAAGGTCCACAGCTGATCGGACGGAGCAAAGCAAGCGAGTTCCATTCACTGGGCCTAGTCCAGGCTCCATCTGTCATCACAAGTCCTTGTTGAGGACATCAGATAATGACCTTCAGCAAGTTCCTAAGGCATTATGAAACACAGCGAAGTCTGTCATGTCTGTGAGGAGACAGATGCTTGTGCTTTGAGGAAGGCCGACAGGATGGTGGGACACAAGGGCTTCTGAGCAACCAGAAAAATCTAAACTCTGATGGGGAGAAGTCGCTGCAGAGATCCTGGAAAAGAGGACAACGGACAAGGAGTCTCTGGGTGTCAGGTCAAGGACGCCCAAAGAATATCCTCCCGACAACCAGATATGACTGGTTGGAAGTTGAGACCCAAGGAGGCAAAAGGGTTTGTCCAAGTGAACACAATCAGAAGGCAGAAGGAGATGCTGCTGTGGTTCAAACCAGGTCACATCGAGGAGGGCGCTTTAGAGACTATAAATCGCTGATAAAATGGGCCTGGACTAGAGGCACCTTCCTAATCCAGAGTCAGCAGAGACTCCCCTCTGTGGCAAAAGGACAGGCTGGAGGCAGTGGAGCCTCCTGACAACAAGCCCAACTCAAATCCCAGCTCTGACTAATAGCACCTGTGTGACTTTGTGCATGACGCTCTCCTAAGCCCATTTTCTCACCTATAAGATAGGAATAGCCTCCACTATCCACCCCATAAAAGCTAGAAATAGGATACATGGGGTAATATCCACTATCTAAGGTGGGTTTTCCTTCCGTCCAGCTGTCCTCAGCCCTAACCCCTGAAGACATCCTAACTGTTCCCTCTCCTCCTTGTCAGCCCTGCCCATCTGCCTTAGCGAAGACGGGTGGGATATTTTCAATGGCAAACAGACCTGCGTGAAGGGTTGGAAATGAGATCACTTAGACAGTTAGATGAGCTCCAGCTGAAGGGTCAAGGTTCCTACAGACCAGTCCTTTTTTTATTTTTTAAGGGGGGGAGGGGCAGAGGGAGAAGGAAAAAGAGAATCTTTTTTTATTTTTTTTTAAAGACTTTTATTTATTTATTTGACAGATTACAAGCAGGCAGAGAGAGAGAGAGAGAGAGAAAGGAGGAAGCAGGCTCCTCCCTGCTGAGCAGAGAGCCCGATGTGGGGCTCGATCCCAGGACCCTGGGATCATGACTTGAGCCGAAGGCAGAGGCTTTAACCCATTGAGCCACCCAGGCGCCCCGAGAAAGAGAATCTTAAGCAGGCTCCATACTCAGCACAGAGCCTGACATAGCGCTCAATCTCATGACCCTGAAATCATGACCTGAGCTGAAGTCAAGAGTTGGATACTTAACTGACTGGGTCACCCAAGTGCCCCTCCTGCCAGCCAGTCTTGATCCACTTGTCCACTTCCATTTTGAAACACAGCCCCTGGCTTCCAGTTTTTTGCATCTCTGCTGTACAGGCATTCTTCCTGGGAATGCCCCTCTCCAAACTATGCCTTCTCTGATTCCCCAAGAAGTATCCCAGACTTGTCTACTCTGTTCCCACAGCAACTCAGCTTCCTCTTTTTTGTTCTGACATTCTGTTTTGAGTGTCACCCTGGGCCCTGGTTTTTCCTTCCAACTAGGCCATGATCTGCCTGAGGGCAGGATAGTGCCTTCCATGAATGATGAAGCAAGTTGACTCTGGGGTGGAATGTGGCCATCAAAAAGGAGTCCATGTTCCTCAACTACAGGGACACAGGAGCTAATTCCAACTCCCCAGGCTTGACCTCAAAGAAATGGAGAGCATGGGGGTGGCTGTGGACTCCAAGTTTTGGGATGTCCCAGCCCCTCAGGAAGTTTAGATACCTAGGGGCTTCATAAGTGTTGAAGCAGGTACAAAAAGGACATGGGGACTTCTCTGAGGAGGGTCAGTGTCCCCCTTGCATGTCTGGCTCCATTCATGGCATCCGGTGAAAGTACAGTAACACAAAGGCAGTAGTCATCGGCTTCCCGCTGAGTCTGATGCTGTCCCACTCCTGTGCCCTCAGGTTTCCTAGTTTCCTATGCAAGACCAACTCCCTTAACACACACACACACTCACACATCATCCACTAAAGGTGGAGAGGAAGAAAGAAGCAGAAATATATTTGGTTTTCCAGAACATCATATTATGAAAAGCAATGAAAGTCGAGCTAATCAGAAAAGTCGCTGCTCGACCTAGCACACAAAGACACCCCAAGGTCATGCCTGACAAATGGAGAAGGCTGCCATCTCCCTAAGTGTGAGGGGGCAAATAATAACTGACCCTTAGAGGGGTCTCTGAATGACTCAGACCCAGGATGCATCTGTTCTCATCTTCATGCCCGCAGGACTGGCCAATGGAAGAAATGGGAAAAGGAGAAAAGACTGAACTATGAATGATACGAGGAAGATGTTTTTGAAGCATCCATTTGTCCTGGGACCTTCCCTAGTTCAATGACCAGTTCGATTCAACATAACTCAACCCAGGTTTTGGAGGGCTTCGGGAGACCGCTAATAATACGGACAAGAGGGAAAAACAGCAGCAGCTAACACTTACGGGGTACTTACTATGTGATATCTTAAGAATTTTACTTAGAATGTTAGCTCATTCAATCCTCCCCGCAACACTATGAGGTAGGCACTATCACTAAGATGAGGAACTTCCATTTTACAGATGACAAAACTGAAGCATGGAGGGACCCTGTCCATTTTCTGTGTCATAAAGCAAGTAATTTGAGCCTGGATTCACCCCTAAGCCATCTGACTCTGGCCCCCCGCTCTGACCCACCGTTCTACCTGCTGCCCACTTTCTGGCCGTGGGGGGCCTCTCTCCTGGCAGAGGGGTTCATCTCTCACTGTTAGGAAGCTCCCGAGGCTCCCAGATGATGACCTCTGGAAA